CATACTTCCAAATACCCGATTGAGTTACGAAGCTATTGAATGGATCTGATTTTAATATCGCACACGTGCATTTGGCGTATTCACTTCTCCCCTTGCTTTTCGAAGACTCGTTCAGTATGCGTAAAGGTTTATAAAAATGTACACAAACAATTCAATATGCGGGTTTTACTACTTATATCCAACGTATGAAATAAATAAATAAATAAAATAAAAAATATATAATGTATTTAAAATTAAGTCTTACGGCATTTAAGTTTCTGTCTATATCAGTTTGGACAAAATATAGTGAAAAGCTTGACCTAGGTCAAAGATAAAGTAGGTATAGTAACTCTATTGTAAATGACATACTGAAGTAAATCAAATTTTAGAAAAATACCCTCCAACGCACTATGTGTCTACTTGTTTATCTAGGTACCTATCTACAAATAAAATACTACCAATCAATCAAAAAATCTCATGAATCGAGCTGCCAACGAGGTGAGTCGAGCCGACCTCAAAAGTGAATGGTCAAAGGCAAGTTCTTTTATCAAAACATAGGATAGTCATGAGTCGGCAATTAACGAGCAACCCTCACTGCACAATGCACATTTTGATTGGTGGCCAGCTGCCCGTGGCGGCAAAAAAACTGCTTTCTAAATTACTACTATCAACCGCGCTCGCATCTAGTGCACACCCGCCTTGCTTAAGATTATAATCGCCGTCCAAAACCATACTTCCGTATCAAATATACGTTGGCAAGAATTAACGAACTTCTCCACAACCGTTTTCGGTAAATGTAAATAGAAGCGAATTAGATTCTAACCAGAAAATGAAATCATAATCACTTCCCTGAGCCAGTCTCAAGACCCTGTGTTTACTCATTATTATTTGACTCTTTTATTTTTAATGCATATTTATCACTTCCTGCATGTTGAATGGCAATGCTAGTTAATTTACTCAAATGTTTTTTACACGCATCGCAAGTATGAATAAACCTTCATGTGTTTGTCCACCTCGTTTGTTGTAAATACGATGTAGGTGAGTACGTTCTCCGTCGAATATGCTGGTCTATCTACTACTACAATTTTGTTTTAGATAAAAGCTGCGAGTGACTCGCCGGCTTCGTTGCAGCGAAGCTCGAGATAAGGAACTGTTTACACTGCTTGAGTCAATGTCCTCCTCCTGTGCACACACAAGGAAAACCTTGGAGTAGACAAAATGGTCTTCCGTGTTAACAGCGAACGTTTGAGGGCGTTGATCTATCATTGCCATTGATCGAACATTAATCGCTGTGTGCTGCTTTTATAAATACGCAATTACTATTACAATTACAAATGGTAGGGCTCTATAACTACCTGACATTAGGTCGACACAAACAATGCGAGTATCGGCGATTATGTTGATAAAGGCGAAGCGACTCAGACAAGACCATTTGGGTTATAATGTTAATGGACACAAATGAGGTAGCTTTTTTATTTATTATCCAGATGTTTTTTTACCAAAAACTAATCCATCAGAATACAATAATAAACTATTGTAGACAGAGTAAACAAATCAAGCACAAACATAAGTAAGAGGATGTTGTAGGATCCCTAAGCGCATAATAAAGGATTCAATGAGACCTAAATATTTTCCGCGATCAAATGAAATACAAACATGAAGAAAATCATTTATGTCTGAAGTATTATCTTCATCCTCACCTTAAGCTACATTCCTAGAGTTAAAATAATATCTATGTCGACTCTATCGTAGAACGTCGTCTATGTTCCCATGCGCCCCTAGCGACTGACTCGTAAATAAATTGAGCCTGCATTAGTGGCAATTGTTCGCTATTGCCGCCGACGCTGAATGCACCTTCCTTGCTATGTAGACGGCATTGCAAGTTATGCTCTAATATTAACGGAGCACGTCATCATTTTGTTATCATAGGACATTGTTGAATGAACGCTCCTTGCTCTTGCTACTTACCATCAACTGTCAAGATATTTGGTTAAAAGTAAATGACGAGTTCAGTGAAAACCCTTTTATTTTACCTGCTTGACATTCGAATAAAGAAATAAAACATTAATAAATCGATTACATAAGAATTTACATAAGGCGATAGATAATTAATTACAAGCGCTTCTGTCTTATTAACTTGTTTAAGAAGTGTCGGTCGGTTTATTGTTTCTTAAACCCTTAAATTCCAATTAAAAACAACCTGTATATAAAACTAACAGTATTTTTATAATGCACACCGTATTAATTAACGAAGCAGATGAAAGAGATTGGCATTCATTATGAAAACAGTAATAGAACAATATTTTTATATTAGCGTGAGTTGCGGAGATAAGGCTACGTTTGCACTTAAGACTCGTAGTTCTAAGGTGCAGACTTCATTATCTCACGAACCAAATCACTTGTACGTTTACTACTTGTAGTTTGTTCTCGCATTTTTGGATTTGAAGATATTTATACACCTGCTTAAAGGTTCTACTTTGTAGTTTTGAACTCTGCTAATATCATATAATTTTAGTTATTTAAAATCACGCATAAATAACGTTAACTTTTGAGTACAAGAATGTAAGGTAAGTACCTATTCACACAAAGAAATATTATAAATACTTTAACAAAAACCTGAACCGAAAATGTAGAAAATATATTATAAAAATCATCGAAGATATTCATAAAAAATCCGCATTAAAGATCAAATGTGATCCTAAAAATGTCTAAGTCATTGTTTATTATAACGTTTCCAATCTTCTCTAGCCCCCACTGGGCCCAATGAACTTAGACAAAATGATAGACCGTTGCAAAAAAGGATTTCTTCAGAAAGAAATCGCAGATACACTGGCATTAACTTTTTTTGAATATCGAAAAAAGCATTCGAGATATAACGGGACCGGCTAAATTATTGCGTATAATCTTCGGCCTTTGTTTTTTATTTTTTAGTTTTAAAAAAAGTTTTGTTCCCACAGTATTTTATCATTTGATTTTTAAAGCGTTTTTGCTCAGTGCCTAATTATGTACTTATTATCTTTGTGCTACTTACGTGGACACCAGGTGCCGGAAAGGAATTAAGACAAATAAAGATTTTGGTCCTCAAAATGGCTATGGTAGACAATGCTGATTTAAAAGAGATTTTAATTTGAAGTTTCTAATCAAGTAGTTCTTATTTACCTACTCCTCTTTATTATTTCTACATAGGTTATTGTAAAATAACCATCTGTGACCATGTTTCTTTAAGATGTTTTTACAAATTTTTATCGCAATATCTCCTGGCTGTCAAACGAAAACCAAAATCTCTTTCTCAACTCATTGGATTTGGTAGTCGTTACACGCAAATTAAAATAAATATTATGAATAGAGTCCCGCGATCCCACGGCGTTGCACAAAGAATGCACAAGTCACAGCACCTGTGTCACTGCATCCCCGATCAATAGGACACGGACACATGAAATATAAAAAGATAACAAGTGCCATTCAAATAAAAAAAAGTTATCAAAAGCCAAAACTTGTACATATTCGAAAGAAATAAAAATTGATAGAGCCCTTAATAACGAGAATACTGACAGGTCTATTACCCCGTAATAGTATGAAGGGTAAAAAGGTATCATGCAAATGTTTTTAAAATCAATTCATATTCAAATTTGAAGTTCTACTTATACTAAGGGGATCAGAGTTAAATAAATCGTTAGGCGGTAAATAATCCTCATAGATATTCCGCCGACATCCATAGCTGCTAGTCCTCTAATTAATTAACCTTCTAATGTAAAAGACGAAAAGTAAAAGAAGTATACACCCATTATGTATGAACCTTCAAGTTTATAATTCTAAGTAAATTCTGATTACAACCCCCAGAAATATAATAAAGACCTACTTACCATAGTTTGTTAAAACAAACTCCGGTAAATTTTATCTACTAACTTCATAAGTGTTTCCATTGCATCCAAGTATTTACATTGCAAGAAGAAGCTTAGCTAAAATGCGGTTTGAAAATGTCTACATTTTAAATCTCAAGCGTTATTTCAAAGTCGGGACCTGTCCCTTTTATGTTAAGCGAATAAAGTTTATTAGGAAAGTGGTATAAAGGTTTGATACAAAAAATCTATAGATATTGTAAAAGGTCGCCTTGTGTCGCTTCACAAAAACCATTGCGTTATCGTAGGCCTCCGCTCATTTGTATTTTTTTTTTTTCGTTTTGATAGAAAAGTGAGGGCAGGTAGATGAGGTGACTCGCAAACATTGGATATTTTCTTTCTAAACCTATGTGTTCGGTCAATCATGTGTCCGTGACTTATAGGTAGGAGGTAGGTAGATAATCAAACAATCGTAGCCAATACTGATATGATTGATACCATCAAAAAAATGTGTACTCAAAGAGAATAATCATGAAAGCGATGATGAGCCTTCATGAAAGCTGCAGATTAAAAGCTTTTCTTGCAAGTTCCTAAGTACCTATATTATGCTATGTGCAAAATACAAGTACGTATTTACGATAATTAAATTAAAAATTGCCGAGACTACTAGGCGATCCTTTAATTATTTCTTTTAATACACTCCGTAATTTCTTTAACCGAACGATCGAATCCGGACTATCAGGAGCAAAGAACTAACCAGTCTTACCAGTTTTAAGCATAAGAAATAGGATAGGAGCGCCATCTGTGGCACAAATTAGGACACAAAATTACAAAATTTCATATGATAAGTATGTATTAGTTAATTAATTTTTGTATCTATAAAACGTTCTACTTGGAAATTTTTTTATTTTTTATATCTTGTTGCTAAACCAATAACACCATTTTTCAATTGATAATGTTGCCAAAATAAAATTGTTAGTTAATTCAACCAAACTTCAAATATGAAGAATGGTCTGTCATTGTCATTGTCCGAGTGTTTGTCGGTATAGTGTTGTGTATGTTCGTGATTCGAAAACTGTAATAAGTTCGTTTCCTTTTCTAACAGCAATTATTTTGCAATTAATCATTGTAGTACTCTTTTCATTAAGTAATCTTTCCTTGATATTTGTAACAGTATCAAAAATGGAAGACAAAAACGTCGAGTTCATACCAAAGGTAAGTTTTTTAATACTACTTTGTAAAAAATTACATAAATCTTTTATTGTAACGACTTCAGATACAATAAAGAATATTCACAGAATTTTCCAGAACTAAAAAATGATCGTCTGCTTCGTGCTGCTCTTGGAAAAGAAGTAGATAAGGTTCCGGTATGGGTAATGCGGCAGGCCGGCAGATATCTTCCAGAATTTCAAGAAGTGAGAGCAAAGCATGATTTCTTTACGGTGTGCAGAACACCCGAGTTGGCTTGCGAGGTAACCTTACAACCATTGAGAAGATATCCACACTTGGACGCTTCAATTATATTCAGTGACATTCTTGTTATTCCACAAGCACTAGGAATGATAGTAGAAATGCACCCGGGTGTTGTAAGTATACTTTGTTGAGTCTTTAATCAAGATTAATGATAGTCAGTGAAATAAATAAAACCTTTTCAATAAATTATTGATATTTCAGGGCCCTGTATTTCCTAGTCCACTTCAAGATCCCTCAGAAATTGATAATTTAAAAGAAGAAGGTGCCGTTGATCGACTTCTATATGTTGGTAAAGCCATTACATTAACTAGGCACAGGATTGAGGGCAAAGTGCCTCTGATCGGTTTCACTGGAGCTCCAGTAAGTAGTTAAAATGGTTAAGTCATTATGTGTTTAAAATAATAAAAAAACATCAAGTCATCATGATAATTCTACTACAAAGTAGTATTATCTGTTTACACTTATATAATTTCTATTAATAATTTGTGCCAATATTATCATGATAAGTATTTCTTCACAATTAATAACTAAAACAAATTGTTTTGAATATTTCAGTTCACACTAATGGGGTACATGATTGAAGGTGGTGGAAGCAAGACAATGTCTAAGACTAAGGAATGGTTAGAAAAATACCCAAAGGATGTCCACAAACTGCTCAGTCTACTTACTAGAGTTATTATTGACTATTTAATTATGCAGGTAAAGTGGTAAATCTAATTATCAACATAGAAGTTGTTCTTGTGTTAAAAAAATAGTAGAACATAGTATATTGGTGATGGTGGTCACTATAAAAATAAAATTACTTATCCCAATAAATTCTAATGTTTACAAAAATGACATCTATGATAAGGTCATCCTGTATCAGTTCATTACTAAACTTTTTTTAACTTCAGTCTCAAAAATTCAAGGCTAAATACTGAACTCTGTAATACTATTTATTCAGGTGGAAATTTTTTCATTAACTTACAATCTTACAGGTGGAGAGTGGAGCTCAATTACTGCAAGTATTTGAATCAAGCGCTGATCATCTAAATAGAGAGCAGTTCACTGAGTTTTCTGCGCCTTATTTAAAAGATATTAGAAGCGGTGTCAAAAATAAAATCTCGGAGAAAAATCTGGAGCAAGTTCCTATGGTAAGCATCAGAAATAAAATATGGTTAAAATCATGTATTTTTATATATTGAAATTCACGAGTACCTGAACATTCCAACGGAAGCATCAGAAATAGACCATTATAAAAAACAACATCATGAGCGTCTCACCCACTATCCCAATCCACTGGTCATGGAATTACTTGACAATGGTAAAATTATGAAAAGGTTAAAGGGACATCTTATAAGTGACAGCAGGCATTGGCCTGTTGCACTCAAACACTACATCCCGCTTCACTACATCTGATTATAGTCTGGCGACTGTAAACTTTATTGGGAAAGTGCTCTGGATATAAATGGTATCAAAGACAATACTTAACTCCTGTTTCAATTTGTAACTTAATTTATTCTGTTTACAGACTGTATTTGCTAAAGGTGGTGGACCATACCTTGATGTTCAGACTGGATTAGGATATGAGACTGTTGGTTTAGACTGGACAGTAGACCCAGAAGAAGCAAGAAAGATTGTTGGTGATAACATCACTCTACAAGGCAATCTTGATCCACAGGATTTGTATAAGACTCCAGTAAGTAATAGTTTATTTATTTTTTTATGGCATAAACCGGTAAACAAGCAGATGGATCACCTGATGGTAAGCAATCGGCGTTGCCCATGGACACCTGGAACACCAGAGGAGTTGCAAGTGCCTTACCAACCTTTTGGGGATTAGGAGTTAGAGGATCGTTGGTGATTCATAGGAGAAGTGGAGGGTAATTGGGCCTCCGGTAACCTCACTCTCACGACGAAACACAACGCAAGCGTTGCTTCGCGTCGGTTTTCTGTGAGGCCGTGGTATCACTCCGTCGAGCCGGCCCATTCGTGCCGAAGCATGCCTCCCCCACACTTTCTTGTCCTTTACAATTAGAAATGTATAGGGCAATGTTTTTATTATTACTTTTTTGTTTCACAGGAGGAAATCACTAAAATGACAATAGGATGGTCCAAAAGTTTGGTAAAAAACGATACATTGCCAATTTGGGGCATGGGATCACACCACAAACACCTTTGGAAAGTATGAAAGCATTCACAGAAGCAGTTCATGAAGCTTTGTAAATATTTTGTTAAGATTTTATGCTTTATATTCCATTTTTGTTTTCTGTTGTTTTTTAAATATATTATTTTTATGTCTGTTGTGGAATAAACTGGGATAGGGATGTAGGTATTGTAATCGAACTATAATATCGTGTTTTAATTACAAAGCTATTTATTAAAAAATGAGTATCTATAAATAAGTTTACATTGAATAAGTGGTTTTAGAATTCTGACTGGTGGCTGGTATGTCTTCGTCGTGGCTGCCTACTGATTTCTTAATGTACTGAAACAGAAATAGAATTATTTATATAGTGAGTTATGAAAATTACTATAGGCACAGTGTGACAATACATTGACAATATTCTAGAATGATTCTCCACTCGTCATTTTAGTTATCAGAATAACTGTAACTGTAAGTACCTGAGGATTGACTTGTATTTGTTCATCCATCTCTTGAATATACTGGTGCAGTTTTGTGCAAGCAGCCATTTGTTGTTCTAGCACACATAAAGTTTCAGGCGACGCGTATTTCTCCGGACTGTCCAAGAAGACCACCATTCCATCTTTTTGATTGATCATTGCATATATTTCACCTTCTTCAATCTGCAGAAAAAAATCACATAGTGTTAATTAAATGTTCATTTAATGATGATTAATATATCGCTTTTACATTGTTGTTTATCAGTACATATTTAATGAAGTAAAATACACCAGAGTAACATTTTTTACATTGTTAAGAAGTGTAGTTAATTAACATTATCACCTTTTCGTAAATAAACTGGCGACGTAGGCTATAAAGATGTAATATTTACCATGTTAAGAATGTAACTTTCAGCTTGTGATGGTCCAGTGAGCTGCACTCGCGCCGCGACATCACTCAGCGAAAGTGTTAAAAATGTTTTAGTCAGCCTTTGAATGTTCTTTTTGTACATAGAACTTAACACCTGAAAGTAACATTCATTTTAACTACAATATAAAGTCATAAAGTTGTCATGATAGTCAATAACATTCTGGTCTTTATTGGATAACATTTTGAAATTGATTTAATTCAACTTTCATTAGATTAATTGGCATACTACTTGATGCTTGATGGATTTTTGTAAATAGGGTGATGCCTGAAGGGTTAGGCATATAAATTGACCATGGTTTTAAACCATGCAGGTGCAGCCGCCATTGAAACAGTAATATTAACGAGCAGACGGATCACCTGATGGTAAGCAATCGGCGTCGCCCATAGACACCTGGAACACCAGAGGCGTTACAAGTGCGTTACCGGCTTTTTGGGGATTAAGAGTTTGAGGATTGTTGGGAATCGTAAGGTAATAATATATATAATGGAACATCTTACTTGGTTCACTAGACCCATATTCTTGTCCCTGATGAAGGTATCGCGATGTTTGATAGCAGCATGTTGGGAGGTAGCCAGCTCATGGTATGCTGCTGATAGAGGCTTCAGAAAGCGGCACACTACTTGTGAGGCATACTTTGGCATTGGTAAGATCTGAAAGAGATTTTAATATTATACATTTTTGTATGGCGTCACGATTTTATAACATTCTAAAGTTAGACCGCCTCATTGACCGAACAAGTGCAACTGCCGGGCAAGGCGTCTCGAGTTCGATTCCCGGGTCGGTCAAAGTATTACTGGGTTTTAAAAAAATCTCAGTAGTAGCACGGAGTCTGGAATTGTGCCCGGTATATGGCAATAGGCTCACCCCCTATTACATGGGACACGTAACATAATAGATAATAGTGAAAAGTGAGTGTTACAGTGGCATAATGTGCACCTCTGCCTACCCCTTCGAAGATAAATAACATTTGGAGTCGGCAACCATGATGTTTTTAACTAGTCAATATTTTGTGACTTGTTGATTGTAATCTCTCCAGATAGCCCATTTTCACTTACAATCCATAGAAGGAAGGAATCAGTACTATTTTTGAAGATTCTTACTCATCAAGCAAGTGAATACCAGAAATAAGATAGAATAAAAAATAAACCTACCTTTCCATGTAGAATAAACGAGACCAATATGTATTTCTTGTAAGCTTCCAACATGATGTGAGAGACCACCATTGCTGGTACTGTCACCACTACTTCAAAGAAATACAAAGCTCTATCATAGTTCTTCATTGCAGTGTAGATCATGCCTCCGTAGTAGTAGTACAGAAGGAAATGTTTCGAGTCATTGTTACCACCAAGCTGGAAAATAATAATAGATTACCATTATTCTTATTTCTGTGAAATAACAATGAATAGTATTTTTGCATGAGAAGTAAGTATACTTATTAGTCTACAAGATATCCTTACTATTATAAATGGGAAAGTCAGTTTGTTTGTTTGTTTGTTCCGCCTTTACGCTGTAACTTCTAAACTGATTGCTTTGAATTTTTGCTCATGTAAAATTAGAAGTCTGGATGAAATAATAGGGTACTTTTTATCTTGGAAAATTTTGGTATTCCCGAGGGAAAACAAAAGAATTGGTATAGATGGCGCTGTGTGTATTGGTATAGGCTACTTTTATCCTTTTGTGACGCGAGTGAAGCCGCGGGTAAAAGCTAGTTATCTAATAAGTAATAACAGTCTTATTTCTGATATATTGGTTATTAGTCCATTTGCAGTAGGAATTCAGGAGTCTATTCATAAATGTATTATGATTTTATTATACTGTCTGTTTGGCTGAGTGGTCGCAAGTGCGACTGCCAGGCAAGTGGTCTCAGGTTTGATTCCTAGGTTAGGTGAAGTATTACTGGGTTTTGTAAAAATCTCAATAGCAGCATGGAGTCTGGAATTGTGCCTGGTATATGGCAATATACTCACCCCTTATTACATGGGACTCATAACATGAACATTAAAAGTGGATGTTACATTGCACAGTGGCATTAAGTGCCCTAATGTGCACCTCTGCCTACCCCTTCAGGGATAAAAGGTGTGATGTTATGTTATGTATGTATTTTTTTATATAATATTCTCATACAGATTTACCTCCGATCCAATACCAGTAACATCAGTATCTAAGAACTCTAAAGCAGGTTTCAAGCATTTTGAGAGTAAGCAGAGCTGGCAAAGATCTGCATGAATTGATGTTAGCTGTGAATCAAAGAGCTGTATCTTCCTAATAGCTTTCTTCAAGATTTCAATTCCTCTGATTGGTTGCTTTATTTCAACCAAGTAATTTGTTAACTGATGACACAGCTCTGCATCTGAAAGTTATTTATTAAAGTTAAGAGTAGCTCCATAAGTATTAAATAATTAGAAGATATAAAATTAAAGGTACATACATAATTCTGGTGAAAATCTTACTTGCTCTCCATTGCAGTTGGTTATAAAATCATGGATCTGTTTGAACATTGTCGATTTATCTACATCACCACCCTGAATGGAAATAAGAATTTTGTTACAAGTCCAATAATTATAGCACAATAAACTTATTTAGCAGCAAATTGTAACAGTAATAGGATACCTGTTGGAGTGAGAATTTCGCGACGAGGACTGCTAGGACTCCTAGAGAATGTTGCTGAATATCAAGTGTCTCCAAAACTGTTGAAAGATGTGCCGTGTTTCTTTGTAAAACTTCATCAGACTTTCCTATTACTTCGCACAACTCACGAAAGGAACCTGTAAACATTGAATACAATTTGATATTGTATACAAATTCAACATTTAGAATAACAAAACAAGTTTGAAAAATCAAATTACCTGATGCCGACATAGTCCTAACATTATCCACGAACTGTTCTAAAGGAGAAGCCATCTTAGCAGGTGTTAAATTATGGCACGATATTAAGCGCTAAATAGATATTATAATATTGAACGTCGTATTTCAATGCAATTTATAGAAAAACACAGACACACCGCGATAGCAGGATTTCCATTAAAATTTAATGTCAAAGTCATTAGTCAAATTAAAAGTCAGACGTCAAACTCAAAAATGAGCTGTTCAGGTCTGTGTTACCAAATTAAAAATTCAAACTTTTTAACAATCGGGACTGACGAAACCAATACCGAAATACAGTGGTGTAATCTGTGGTCTCAGTAGTGTCATTAGTTTGACGAATTGTCAATGTCAATTGTCAATAATGTCAATTTGTCTTGCCAACGAACGATCGATTTGCTTTCCAGAATTTTGACCTATTATAGAAATTTCTATTTTTAGTTAAGAATTTGAGTAATAAAATAATGGCTATTTTACATAGAGCTCTATTTACGTGGTTTATTTTCCTAGTATTTTTAATATTACTATGTCTGAGACTAGAATCGAGGACTCATTGGAATTGGTTTATTGTTTTCATACCAATGTGGGTTTATGATAGTATTTTATTAATATACGTGTTATTTCATATGATTTCACACTGTAGGAACGGTATAGAAAGATTTAGAGGGACTATAAACAAAAATGTGTGGTATATAGCTGCAATAGGTTTAAAAATGGCAGCACAAATTATCATATGCATCAAATTAGAATACACCAGAGTAAACCTGCCAATATACGTTGTTATGACTCCTATTTGGATGTTACTACCGGTGCTTTGTGTCGAAGTTTTCATGCATTTAATAAAACATTCAAGTGGAAGCAGTAGATACTAACATGTGTACCTATAAACTATGAAAACACTAGTTTTCTGCTATTTTGGACTATATTAACTCAACTGAAGGTGAAGCATGTGACAAGGAGTGATGTAGATAATTTTAAACTTGGCACACATTCATTGAGACTGAGTATGTTTGCACATGTCAAATCATTTGTGGCTGCGTTGAAATATTTGGTGATATAATAATTCCTTTGGAGGTTTAACCAGAAGAGACAAATTTCAAGATGCATTCAATGCGAAATAGTATTCCTGAGATAAAACAGCTAACTGTGACTGAGATTCCAGCTGGTAGTACTGCAGTTCTAAATTGTCACAGCAATGATGTGGACCACAACTTTATGTTCTGGCTATTCAATGGCACAGACGTAATTGGTCCTGGCAATGTGTACAACGAACAGAAATATAAGTATGAAGTACTCTCTGGGAAACTGCACATTCATGTAAGTATACAAACTAATATATTAACATAACTTCTCAAGGTTAACCAATGTCAAGGGATAAATTTAGATGGTCATAAATATTATTGTCATTTTTTGTTTATTTTGTTGCTAATAGTTACATAATTGTTTTTAGGATGTGTCTACGAGAGATTCTGGGTACTACCACTGTATTTCAAAGAAAGTCAATGGGATTGGTTACACTGTGGGCAAGTGGATATGATAGTCAGTGGTTCAGCATTTACGGCTATAGATGCAGTGAAGCTAATTGCAATTATTGTATCTATCATTGTGATTATTGGCTGTGCTGTTCTTTACTATAACTTGAGAAAAGATTGGAAAAGATATGAGGGCAGAGGTATTGTGCCAGGTAAGACTCTTGTACTCTACTACTAAAACCATGAAGTCATCTCAAAAAGATTTATATTTTAAGTTTGTATTTTTAACTCTGTAAATTAAATTTACAGTGGATGAAGTAGAGGATGATGATGGTGAAGGAGACGAGATATACAACCGTACCACAACCCCGACACAACCACAACCACCAAGACAACTTAGCCAGCCAGTTGCAGGCCCAAGTAGGAATCAATCGTCTGAACATCTCTGTATGGAATAGACAATCAAGGTTTAGATACAGACTTTAATTCAGTGTTCGAAAATATACAAATTAAGTCTCCAAATGCAAGTCTGATTTAGTTATAAAATATATATATATATAACATCACGCCTTTTATCCTCGAAGGGGTAGGCAGAGGCGCACATTATACCACTGTACAATGTAACACCCACTTTTCACTATTTATGTTATGAGTCCCATGTAATAGGGGGTGAGCCTATTGCCATATACCGGGCACATTTTTCCAGACTCCGTGCTACTACTGAGATTTTTAAAAAACCCAGTAATACTTTGCCCGACCCGGGAATCGAACCCGAGACCCCTTGCCCGGCAGTCGCGCTTGCGACCACTCGGCCAATGAGGCAGTTAAATGAAATTTTAGTTATAAAAATAAATAAAATTTCTTATACTTTCATACTTGTGATAAAACTAATTCAATGCTAATGTAGAAAAACAACTTTGTTAAATGTTCTCAGTAAAAATATTCTCATTAATGTAATTAAGATGTAATCTAGTTAGTTAATAGTAAGAGTATACTGTGAAATAAAATGTTTTTATTTTAGTTTATAATTGCATTTATTTACTTATTCTGAAAACATAATAATGGTGGCTTAACTTTAAAATACTTTTAAGAAAGTAACATCAGTTGCTGCAGTGCTTGTATTTTGTTTTTCAGATATTGTGGACTGGTCATTAGTACTTTGTGACTGTGTTGTAGTGTCCAGTGTTTCATCCTCTTCATCATCTCCATCAATCTCCATCTCAAACACTCTCACCTTCCTATAACTTTTAGAAAGAACAACAGCTACTTTGCGACCTCCTGAGACTGCTATTCGAAACCCATCCATTTTATCTAACACTTTAAAAACACCTGATTCGATCAAAGTTGAAATGTTTTTTATTAACTTTTTCATTAAACAAAAATAGTTTTGGTTTTAATGCACATTCAGGAGCATTCACCTGAATGATTCCTAAAGGCAATTGAATGAATATAGAGCTTTCTTCATTGTGGGGATGTGATGTCAAGACTGATAGATATTCAGGAGAATAGAATTGCAAATCCATTACTGATAAAAGCTCATCATTAGGATTTTTATCTCCTAAGATCATAGTTGAAAAAGTGTATTTCATTGCAGTCACTGAGCATGCCTTATCTTTTATCTTTATAGACATAAAATGTATTCCATCATTCACATTATTAGAATCTACAAATGCTGTCACAAAGCTACTTTCAGAATCATAATAGGCTTGACAAATTTTCAAGTTTTCACTTAGTTTCCCATCAGATTTGTCTTCGTAACATTTGATATTGAATATAGGAGACATGTATCTGCCAGTTTCTTTTTTCGAAATATCAAACACTTGACCAACTGTTGATTTCAAATGCTGTTGCTGTTGAACAAGAGAGAATTTTTTAAATTCTGCTAACGAAAATATTGTATCATTGTCTTTTAGCAGACAGGAATTGTCTTTAAGAAACTTGCGCCATGGATTGTCTTCATCTTCAGGCAGTATTGTTAGCTCCTGGTCCTCCAAGTACTGACCCAACCTCTCTAGGTTGAACTTTACAGGTTTATCTGGCAATGTTTCAGCACTTTCAACTTGTACATTGTCAAAGTTGTATAAGAATTCTGCAATGTGACCAAGTTCCTGTTGAGTAATCTTGACTATTTCACTTGGAGTTTGTTCCCCTAGCAGTCTGACAATAACCACAAAAAGCCATCTGAAAAATGCTTTGTAGTTGCGCATTGATGTGTCAATGACCTGTTGTAATTCTAGACATTTATTTAGAAAAGCGCAGCAGGCTCTTATTGCTTCAGTTACTGTAGATTCATCTATACCCAGAATCTGCAAAAAATGTTGAAATTTAATAACATTTTTTATAACAATAAGTAATTTTAAAATTATGCCAAAGTCCTACCTGGTATCTATCTGGTATCCTTGTGAGTCCCCTTAGTTCAGAAAGGTAATATGTTAAATTCTGTCCCACTATATTCAACTGCTTGAGGACCAATTTCTGTATTGTTGAATAACTTAATTCTATGGAGTTACCAAACTTCTTCAAATCATTTACTGTTAACTTCTGCAGTAAACATAATTCTAGTTCATCTGATGGAGTCCCTGTAAGAAGACAATATTGATTTTAGTATTGATACTATTTTAATAATCAATATTTATTTGTTTGAACCTAGATACACACCTAACATGAGTAGTTCCAACAAATCAGCTGAAACTCCACCCTCGGGGACCGATGCAGCATACTCAGCCATTTTTGTATCCATTTCCAACAAAATATGTTCCCAAGCTTCAGTAATTGAATTCATAGTTTGATCAAGATATGATATCATTTTAACAATATCACCATGCTTCTTAGCTACAATATACACTTCTTCAGCAAAAGCTGACAGTACACTGGTGTTTATGAGTGACACATAAAGGTGGCTAGTCATTCTATCCAGATAGAGGACTTGCATCATACTGAAGTCATCTGACATACAAATATCAAGTACTTTGTACTCTCCAAAATCATCTTTAGCAACCTGTGCAAGATGAATGGTTCCGAAGGGATACCGCCCAAAGATGTTCAGGTAAATGTATCCTGTTCCATAGCCCACCATTAGCATATTCAACTGATTTGGAGGAACAAATTCTTTGTAATCTTTGATATTTTCATCAGTCCCTTGGCTGTTACCATTAGAAGACGGTAAGTTTTGTAAAAATATTGTAGAATCATCCTGAAAAGTAAAGGAGAATAGTTGAGAAGTAGTTAGAAACAAATCATACTTATTTTTTAAACTACTCAAGTGTGATAAAGAGATTACATACATAAATATTAGGATCAGTAGCATTCTCCAGTGTTTCAGACCTCACAGCCCAGGTAATGCATGTAATACCAAATCTGTTAGTGTCAAATTCATCAGGGTTCTCTTGCTCCAGATCATATCTGTCTAAGATTTCCTTGTCTTCTATATCCACAATGAACACAGCTCCTGAACTATATCCAATTGCTAAAGCCTGAGAAGTTGAAAAAATGTCATCATAACTCAGATGATAGAATATTATGAAGTAACTAGTTTAGAAATGTATTCACGATCATGAATTCTATGATTAGCAGCCTTTTTTCAGCAGTGCAGATCATCAGGATCAATGATTTTGATGATAAATTTAATCTGAATAGAAGGCAAAATATATTACACTGTAATTACAAAAAATACCTTTCCATCAGGCCTCCAAGCCATGGCACAAACTGTAACATTTTCCTTGGGAGGTGCAAAATTCCATACTTTTTGCCAATGGAGTCTATGAATTTGGACTTCACCTGAAATCAACATTACATAGTGTTACAATATTTATATGGCACTAATAGGTACTTAGTCATTTTAGTGGATACGATTGTATAACTATAATAATAATCGCAATATATTACTTGTTAATCGCTCAGTATCCTTAGCGGAGGGTAAATTAAAAATTCCTATTATTTTACCTTTAAAATTGCTTAGCGCCAGGAGATCAAGCCGGTTACTCCATACCATCAAATTAACTTTATATGCAACATGTCTTTCGCCCACTTGCCGCATTCCACAGTGATACATTTTTTATCAATTTTGATGAACAAATATACCTTGGTCCTACAAGTACGCGGTATCCCTATCTCCAGAAGAAAACTTACTTTATTGTCTAAAACATTTCGTACTACACACAACATAAGTCGAGTACTCGAGTTGCACTTCAAAATATTGTAAATGTAAACAGTAATTTTATTTGACATTGACAATTGACAGTTTTTGTCGGTTACAGATTCTACAACCGCCCAAAGTTTTATTTTGCCTTTATAAAGAAAATATCGTAAAATATGTAACAACCCTGAGGACACGGTGGAACACACTGTATCGGAATGCCCTGCGTGGGCTGAGCACCGCCGTGCTCTTAGGGAAGTGATCGCTGATGGCGACCTCTCGCGTCCAGCACTAGTAAGGGTCATGATGCCTCTGCATCATGCGAGGGGGACTGGGATACCGTCTACTCCTTTTGCGAAGCAGTCATGCTAGCTAAGGAGGAGGCGGGACGCATGAGGTAGCGAAGCGCTGCCTCCTCACAACCCAGCCATCGCGAAGGACACTCCGAACGTCGGGGATTGCGAGACGATCTTCGGCCACCGTAAGCGCGGGCCTGCGGACGGCGAGCATGGGTGGCTCACCGTCCGACCAAAACCAGACCCAAGCGTACGGCGCGTCGCGTTCCGCGTGCGCCTTAAAGAGCCATCCATCCAGACCACCACGGATGGAGCCAAATAGGGCTGATACTGATTCGGAGTTGCGGAGAACCTAACGGGTTACCGGGGCTCCGGCTCGAAGCGCAGTTGAAGGAACGGGGTGGTTTTTAGTCAGTAAGAGTCTGACTTTCCCCCTTAAAAATAAATGTATGTAATAACCGTCATTTTATAAATTTTTTACCTATAATTTGTTTTAACAATTAATCGTGTTTGACTTTTGACAGATCTGTCTGTCAAAATTCTCAAAGGAATCTGTCAGTTGATAACTTATCACTTGTGGTTATTGTGATGTGAGTAAGTTGTGAACTGCGGAGTTGTGTTGATATGTTCTGGACTCCTGGTAGTTCATTCGTCATTGTAACATCTAACATTGTTGTTTTGTTGTGGCTATCGTTGTTGCTCCGAATATAATATAATACATAATATACTCTTTGGAATATAAACAATGAATTTCCTGTTTGATAGTGTTGTCGGGTAGTTAAGCACTCTTTAATCTGCCCATTTACCATTACTTAGAGTCCAGAACTCTCCAATTTTTAAGTGCAAAATATGGCTGTGATTCCAAAAAATACTATGAGAGAAGTTGATATTGATTGCTTATCACAACAACTTGATGAATATGAGTTACTAAAATCAATGTACCCAAATCAAGGAGAAATTACTTAAGTGATAAAGATACTATAAACGAAATAAGGAGCTTTGTTGAAAATAAATCAGATTATGTTCCTCCACACCTAGATTTCAAATTAAATCTAGTTGTAGATGGACTCAAGTTAGAAATTTTCATAAATTTACCTAGCTCTTACCCAAAAGAAGAACCAGACATATATGTGAGATGTAATAAAATGAATCGACAAAACGAATCAGCTTTAAATTCAAAGCTTTCACAGTATCTAAAAGAAAATCATATAGGAGAAGTATGCCTCTACACAGCAATTTCATGGTTACAAGAAAATGTTGATAAATTTGCAGTGATGTCAGAAGAAAGCAATTTATTAGAAGCAAAGTATTGTCAAGAAGCTAAGGATGAATTTGCGAGGCTTTGGATTTATTCTCACCACATATATAATAAAAAGAAAAGGGAAGAAATTGTCAAAAAAGCAAGGGAACTGAAGTTAACAGGATTTCTTTTGGCGGGTAAACCTGGAATTGTTTGTATTGAGGGACATCACAGTGATTGTAAAGAGTGGTGGAAAGATATTAAGTCAATGACTTGGAAGAAAATAATGATTCGAAGGACTGAAATATTTGAGCCTAGTGAGGAAAAGTCTTTCAAAAAATTTTCAAGCTTTGAAGAACTCTGTCTTGTGAATCCTGTACATAATAAGCATTCCAATATGAGTGAACTGTCAAAGTTAATGACTGAACTTGGCTTAAATCAAATATTTAATGATTTATTTGGACTGAACGATGACTAAAATGTTGTTTCAAATTTAACAGATAGTCTAAGCAAAATACCTTTGTGGTAAAAAATATGTATACTGAGATTGTTACTTGATTGTTATGTTTAGATTGATATTGCATATTTTAAACTGTGTTTAATATTTCCGTGGGGTAACGTAAGTAAGACGGATGCTGATTCCTTTCAGATAACTATTGATAATTTTTATTTTATGTTGTATGTTTTGTGCTTTCCTACAGCTCTACCTCTCTTTTTATTCTCTCTAATTTCTATTGTTTTCTTCTATATCTAAATTGAAATTATGTAGAATAAAATAATAATAAATATTTTATATTTTCATATTATTTGCATGGTCTTTTATTATACCCTTAAGCTCAACACAGCTACAGTACTGCTTGTACTGTACATAATTAATGTTCTTTTATGTATCATTTGATGGATGGAACATCAGTGTTGTAGCTTGCCCTGGGAGGCCTCATCATCCACAATTTATTAATACCTATAGGTTAAAGTACAATGAAAAAGTGTGGTTTTTAATTTTGCATAATGGAAGATAACACTTTTTTTTTATTGTAACGTACAGGTTATATGATAGCTAAAACTAATATTCACTTGAGTATTCAACGACTTGGGTCAGAATCATCCATTGATCATCTACTTCGTCTAACCAATCTGAGCAGCTATTGTCAGGCGTTCCCAAAGAGTATAATAAGTATAGAAGAACTAGGAGAAAGCATTCCCCCAAGTCATAGTGAGCCCAAGTTCTCCCCCTGCCAAAGGTAGGTAGGTACAAGATCGCCTATCATACTCGACTGGTAACATAAAAATGACCATAACGCGGTAATAATTTCCGTGAACAATGCTGAATTGCAGTTTTTACGTGTAAAAATCACTATAATCATAATATAAAGAAAACTATTTAAAATTAAAAAGATAAAATGACTGAATGAAATGTTGATTTATAATTACAAAATAATTTGAATAAAATTTGGCTTTGAGGGATCTAAAAACTTTTTACGATGGAAAGACTGCATCGAGAGACTTAGCATTTTTTTACATTTATTGTTTTTGGTGGGATCTCATTCATTTTTTGTAAGTGTAGGTAAGTATTTCTATTTTCTATTTTTTAAGTGACCTCTGACCTCATATCTAATTTCTTGGATTTCAGCTACTGCTTTGCTTAGAACCCATTCTCTATCTCTTGTTTTTTCTCTGAGGCTTCGTTCTTCCTAGGTCGATGAGCCTGGGACTCTGGGCGCTATCAAAATTATTGAATTATTTTAAAGTACCGAAACCATCCACAGCGCGATTCAGACCGCGTTACAACGCCATCTAACGAGCGCGCATACAATATTTATCGCAATACAATTGAGTTTAGCTTTATTAATTTAATGAATTATGAACTTTATGTATTAATTATATGCACGGAATATAGAATACAATGGAAGTAGCTTGAAACAATATTTCTGCCAGAACCGGTGTCGCCAAACTAATACATTTATAATTTACTTACTCGTACTATAAATCGGAAGTTCCGAATGGTTAGAAAAAAAAATGGGCGTAAACGAAATGCAAAAAAAATATCATACGTTATGCAACTTTAAAATCAATGCACTATAAATCAAAATTATAAAGTATATTTTGGACTACCAAGTACCGCCATTCTGTGTAATATACCGCCATTCTGTGTAGTATAAATAGTGGTACTTGGTTTGAACTTTAACGTCATATGAATAAAGGTGATATTTGAATGGCTTATCACTGGATCGAATGCAGGTCTCTACTCAGATAGTGATGTAGCCTAATTCGATAAAAATAATATCGATAATATGAAAATGTGTTTTAAAAATAATGTGAAAAAAATATTGACTGCGATAGTGTGACAGTATTAAAATATTAAAATTAATATGTCGTTGATAACTTTTTAAACGTAACAAAAAAGGATAAGTATTTATTTGCAGGTAAATCAAAAACCATTTTGTTCGTATTTTTTATTAGTTTCGTTTTTCAATTGTATTCTATATTCCGTGATTATATGTATTACATTAATATTATTCTTTTATATCCTATGTATGTATTCATCCAATTGAATAATTTACATCCAACGAAAAAAGTTAACAATGCAGTCAAAATCCATAGGTACACAATGTTCTTGCCAAACGCAAATATAAGATTGTTTTATGTGGCTAATGAGAATGATTTAACTTGGTGCAAAATTTAAAGTTTATGTCTGCTAGAAGTACCTACCTCAGATTTTTAATGATCGGTCAGTGAGTCAGTGTAACTTTGATCGACCGTTACTCCTAAACTATTTATTCAATTGGCATGTAATTTCGAACTTAAGCTCGGTGTAATGCCTAATGGGATTCACCGAAGACCTTAACTCCTAGCTTTGTCCACGTCGAAGATAGGGGAGGGGGGGGGGGCCCGAATCGCTTCGAGAAAAGATGGTACGGCCGCGCCCGTTTGCTCAAGACTTGGCTGGGGTCTTGTCGTAACTATTGGCTGAACTTATCGACAATAAATTATCGACACTGAAAGCACTATCATTGCTAACTAAAACGATACCGCGGTCGGTGCTCTGATTGGCCTGCTTCAATGAACCAACCAATTAGAGGGCTTATGCGTTTCTTTCTCTCCCGTTGGATGAATAACATGCTCGTACTAGGCTCTAAGGGGTTTCAATATGTGTTTGTACAATATATCGTCGATTAAATTGAAAATGGCACTTTTACATTGATTTGGAAAATAAGACACATATTATCATGCCTTTTAACTCCGAAGGGGTTTGTAGAGGAGTATATTATGGGCCTCAACGCCACTGTACATTGTAACACCCACTTTTCACTATTTATATTATGAATCCCATGTAATAGGAGGTGAGCCTAAGCCTATTACTATTGGAAAATAACATTACCTAAATTACATAAAACGAGTCTATTATCAAGATTATTTTATAAGCAAAAACAACACTTTAAACAGTTCACGCCAAGTTTACTAGATGTTGCAAGTGTCATTTCGATTTAAACGAATTTTAGTGAAATTAAATGTTCAAACGCTTGTATTGTAAAATTTATCCTTTCTGAATTACGTCATTTTTCTATTTAATCGACGGTGTGCTTGTAGTATTTTTGTTTGTATTTTTTGTATAATTAAATCATACGTACTTGTCACAGACTTACAATAGATAAGGTACACGTTTGCATAATATTCATGACTTGATGTGGATAAAATACAATGACTCAAGTATATTAAAAAAATAATGTCATTTTGATAACAACCATTCCGTGTCAACGTCAGGTAAACGTCACACCGTCAACAAGAGTTGTGATTATCGTAGGATTCGTTCTCATTTATCTATTGGATTATGGTAAAGAAATATCGAAATGTAAAAAGAACTTACACTCCGATTGCTTGGTACTGTAGTATCCCTAAGAAAATAAACGTGCATTTATAAAATAACTACGCTATAAAATTAAGTTACAAGTTTGAGCTATACACGTGAAAAACTGATTACGACTACCGGCTTGTTTACAATGATTTCTCAAATAGTTGTAATAGTAACAACTGTTAAATTACTTTTTATTCCATTATAGTAAGTATAAAAACTCAATTCAATTGAAGTTCCCGCTCAATTACTAGTTTTCATAATCTTAATTAAATGTTGATTATCGAAAATGTATTATCAGGTTGTCCACGTCCGGTATAATAAATCCCTTCAATACTGTCTTATGTGGAGCCTAGCCTCGAAACTAAACTATTGTAATTTAAGTAGTACCAAAACAAATCATTGTTATTAAGTATTACTGGGTTTAAAAAAATCTCAGTAGTAACACGGAGTCTGGAAATGTGCCCGGTATATGGCAATAGGCTCATCCCCTATTACATGGGACTCATAACATAAATAGTGAAAAGTGGGTGTTACTTCTGTGTGCACCTCTGCCTACCCCTTCGGGGATGTTGGTGAAGGTGTGATGTTGTGTGTGTGTATATGTGTTATTAATGTTAATGTTCAAATCTTTTTCAGTCACTCTACAGACTTTGAAGTCCATCGAAACTGGCTGGCAATCACACATAACTTGACATTAGACAAATGGTATTATGACAATACGTCAGAATGGACCCTGGATTATCCACCATTCTTTGCATGGCTGGAGTTTGTGATGTCTTTTATTGCTAAATATTTTGACCCGCAAATGCTGTACTTAACTAATCTAAACTACAAATCTGATATGACTATACTATTTCAAAGGCTGTCAGTTATAGTTCTGGATTTTGTATATGTCTACAGTGTGAAGAGGTCAGTATAGCTCTGGAATTTAATTTACTATCGATTAGATCTGTTATATAAAACCTTTCTCTTGAAATTTCAATGTAACTTTGAGGGCAAAACTTTAAGACACCTTCTACGTATTTTACAGGTTGTCCAGTTTCATTGGTGATGGAAAACTTCTGGTATTCATATTGCTGATGTCCTGTCCAGGTCTATTGATGATAGACCACATACACTTCCAATACAATGGATTCTTGTTTGGAATCCTTTTATACTCCATATCACATATCATAGAAGTAAGTTGAGACATTTGTAAGTGTTATCTTGTATAATCTATAAATAAAAATTGATTTCCCTTCATTAGTCCGCAAACTTGAGAACCGTTGAACCAATTTGGCTAATTTTGATCTTGAAATGTTAATGTTGAAGGCTAATTGTGGGAGTCCAGGGAAGGTTTAAAATTTAAGATAAATTAATTTTAGGTGGTACAAAGTTTTCTGATTCAGCAAGTTATACTAACACAAACTGCAAGTATAGAGGAAGGTGCTGTCACCTGCCTCTATACCTGCATAGTCTCTAAAATAAAGTAGCCTTTATCCCTTTCAAGTTCTTAACCTTCTCCAGCCACAAATATCATACCTCAAAATCATCAATATTGTTTATCTATTGTTGTCTTAAAGTAAGACAAATGAATGCTTTTCCATTATGATATTAGTAACAACTTTTTTACTATAAGTTTAACTAAATTTATTTTAAGACTAGCTTCTGCCCGCGACTTCGTACGCGTAATCCCATTTTTTCCCGTCCCCGTTCGTGATTTTCGGTAAAAAGTAAAAAAAAGTATTGGTTAAAAAGTATCCTATGTCGGTCTCCTGATTCTAAGCTACCTCCCTACTAATTTTCAGCCAAATCTATTCTGCCGTTCTTGAGTTATAAGTGGTGTAACTAACACGACTTTCTTTTATATATATAGATTACATTAATTTCTGGGATATCTACTGCAACCTGTGCAGTTCTACAGATTCAATTTAAAAATATTAATATATTGATAATCATTTAGTCAAGTGAATTGTCTTTAAAATTTTACTTTTATTAAAATGTTGATACATCATACCGAAAATTTGTTCATACAAAAATAGTATCTAAACATCAGAAATAAGGTCTATAATGGAGTTAGTGAAGAGCGGTCACTATTGGCTTCTTGGGGATTGAACAGTTAAAGTGTTTCACTATTTACAAATGTTTTGTTTGTTTCAGAATAATTGTCTAATAGCAGCATTTTGGTTTGCAGTGCTGTTGAATTTGAAACATATATTTTTATATGTAGCCCCTGTGTACATTGTGTACTTATTCAGGGCATATTGCTTTACAATATCTTCAGTTGATGGTGTTCATACTCCTTGGTATTCATTCTCTTTGACAAATCTGTTCAAACTGGCATTCACAGTGATTTTTGTCTTTGGACTTTCATTTGGACCTTTTATTTATCATATTCCACAGGTAAGATGTAAATTTAGTTATTTTAAATTGGGTATAATAATTTAAACAATTTTATTAGCAATTTTGTTTAATATTATTTTTGTCTTCAGATTTTATCAAGACTATTTCCCTTCAAAAGGGGATTATGTCATGCCTACTGGGCGCCGAACTTTTGGGCGATATACAACTTTGTTGATAAGGTGTTACAAACTATTGGTAAGGAAAATACAAACAAATATAGTTAGAATTTTAACAAACGGATGCCTACCCTTATAAGTTAAAAAACAGAATTGACACTCGGAAATTACAGAGGATATTAAAAATGAGAAGCAAATAATACAAGGAAAATCCAACCATATCAATTTTTTTATGGAAATTATACCACAGATTTCTTGTTAAACAGTTTCACTTGTAAAACATGGCTGTTGACAACAGAATAAATGGTTGCATTGTCAAAACATAATTTATCAGCCTTGAATATTTATATGAAAATTTTTATCTTTCATTTTAGGTACAAAATTGGGATTACTGCGGATCCCGAGAGCTGAGGCGTCCATGACAGGAGGTCTGGTGCAGCAATACGACCATGCGGTGTTACCATCAATCACTCCCACAATGACTATAGTTCTAACTGTCGTGACGATGATACCAGCGCTCATTAAACTGTGGCATTTGTGCGCTGACAGAAGATACAGGGTGTTGAGTTTTGTAAGGTATGTTGGTAAATAAACAGTTTATTTCTTCTTATGCAATTCCTTTTAGTCAGTCCTTCCGACCTTTCGAACACGTGTCCAATAGGCACATCACGATAGAGAGCTCAAATCACGATGTCGTGATTGGGCTAATGCAACGATTGGCCCACGAAATTTTGACGTGTATTGTATACATAACACTTTAATTAACATAATTTCAATGTACATAATTACATATAAATATTTCCTATTATATTTTTTTTGTGTAAACAGGTGTATGGTGGTCTGTGCGGCTTGCTCCTTTTTGTTCGGCTGGCACGTTCATGAAAAGGCCATACTTATGATATTGGTGCCGTTGACGTAAGTAAACATTTTATTAAAAAAAATTATAATTATGAAGTAATAAGTTGAAAAAATGATGGTAATCAAATGTGTAATCAATGGCGAATCATTTTTTTTTATTAAGCTCATATCCAAACCGAACTAAGTAGATCCAAATTTTACCATTAAGGATTTGGAAGTAAACTTCCATAACAATAAAATAAAATAATACGAGACCAAAGAGAAAGTTAAAATCACCAAACGCTTTTTTTGTTACAGTTTCCTCTCAGTGCTGGGCGACGTCGACGGCAAACAGTTTTTAATTCTAACAACAGTCGGGAACTATTCCTTATTCCCACTGCTATATCCAAAGAATTTATTTTCTATTAAGTTTTTCATATTATTGACACATGTAGCTTTAGCTTTTGTTAATGTAAGAACTTTATATGAGCCTGCGAAAGTTAAAGGCGGTAGGAGGATAAGAGTGCTTCGCTTGCCAATGCTGAGGCAAATAGAGTCTTTATATTTATACGGTTTAATAGTACTTTGTGTGTATGATAATGCTATTCATGCGCTCTGGGGCTTAGACAAAACGTTGCCGTTTTTGCCCCTGATGCTTACATCCGTATATTGTTCGATAGGAGTTATATACGTATGGCTTTGTTATTATTATTATTTCTTAACGTTCAATGTTAGTCAAGTCCCCACGCTGTGCTCGGTTAACTTAGCAGAAAAATATAAGAAAACAAGTTAAATTATCTAGATTTATGGTTAGTTTTGCTAGATTTGTTACTACCGTAGTTTGTGGACATGTTTAAATTATTAAAAAGTGAAACTTGCGATTAATGTAAAAACTATTTAGAAGACTATTAGATGTACATAATAGATGATTTGGAATTGCCAGAAGTCATAGAAGTTATTAGCATAAGGTATTTTATTTGTAATGATGAACTTAATCTCCAATACGACTCAAAGCTACACTAGCGCCAATTGATGAACAGAAAAACTAAAACACAATCGTAAAAGTCGTGTGCAAAATTAATTTTATATTCTATTTAAACATGTCCATGCTCTGGTTGTTTGCTGTGTATTGCTTTTGTCATTCCAAAACCGGTTGACAAAAAACACAGTCAACAGAAAAAAATAGATAGTAATGAGATGTTTAATGGTGCGTCCATATCTAATGAATGTGCTGGTCCCAAACCGCTTGCAAAAAGCTTGGGCAAAGTGTGTATGTCACCCGGGCGCGAGAAGTAATCGGATGATTATCCACCCTTAAAAAAAGTGTATGTATAAAAGTCAACGTGGGCAATTTATGAGCTGCTCGTGAATGGTTATTGAGAGAGTCAAAATCATTTATTTAAATTAAAACACGAAAGGCATTTTTGAACGCCAATAATTGTCGAAAGATGAAGTCATGAAGTTGTTAGTCTGATTGAGACTCGCCAACTGTGCGCTAGGTGCGTTCGACGGATGTAGACGCACCATGATTATATTTATGTACCGTACTTGTAAGTAAAGTCTACTAGTCGTTTTATGTCTGAAGATACGTTGCATGGTGCTGGTAGGGACTGAGTAATATAAGTACATACCCTGGACCCTCCAGCTTTACATATCCATTCCATCAGTTTAGGATAGAGATAGGTAGGTAGCGGAGCAGGGCTTGCCAGACAAAAGGTAAAGGTACCCCTGCCTAGGTCATCGGAAGATCAAGACATAATAAGTGATCATTATGGCGTATCAAAACTGCCTGTAGATTCTCGACTTTATTACGAAACATTATAATTGAAATTCTATTACAGAAAGTCTAGATGAAATAGCTGTAAGTCTAATACAAATTTCAGAACGCCAAAGTAGTCCAACCTTGGCAACCTCGACAAATGTCAGTCAAAATTCGTTGATTGATTTTCAACCTTATTTTTTTCTAATAAACTTGAAAATGCTTCACAGATTTGTCGATATTCTGGGGTTATTGAATTATTATTTACATTTGTTGTAAGCTTATTCGTAGTGAGAACTGATGATTTTATATAGATTTAGAATTAAGTCAAAGTTTGCTTGTAAATGAAATGTGAAGCATGTAAATATTGCTGTTCTATGGACAACAGAGGGATAATAAACGTTTTGTAAATCAATAACTTGTGTGGTTTTATACTTTGTAAAAAGTTTTGGCTCGGAACTAGTCAGGTAACTTAAATAGTACCAATAGTGATGATAGCAGTAAGTCTAGTAAATAGTACCTAGTTACCTACTGATTCAGAAAATATATTTAAAAAAAAACACTAATTAATCATTTTAAACTTCATCAATAACTTACTTTCTTATTTATGTTATAACTTTCGTGTGATATACAAAATTAATTATTATGTTTTTCGGCTTACTCTAATTATTTGACGAGGAACTCGACTAGTTTCAAGCCATGCTGGAGGCTCATTTTCATAAGCAGCATTCCGCGACCCGCGACGCGGTTACTGTCGCGCTGCTCCTTTATAAGTGAGCCGAAAAACATAACAAATAACTTACTTCCTTCCTACAATTAAAAGTAAAAGTTTGCAAGGAAAAATTAATGCTTGTTACTCTCACTCCAATACCATTGAAAGGATTCTAACAAAATTAGGCACACGGAGAGACCGTGAACTGAATTAAATAGATACATACATAGGGTTCTTCCATCCCAGCAAAGTGGGCGGACCCAGGTTCTAAGCAAAGTATCTCACAACACCCACATGTTTGTGTATACATTATACATACTCAAAAGCTTTCCACATCTGTAATTATTGTAGATATTTATAAGAACGATGTAGATATCTATTTGTGTAATACAAGACAAACTCGAAAGGACACGTACGCGTGTTTACACGGAATAAAGTGAAGGCGTACGTCGATCGTGGCATGAATATTCATGGCGGCCTAAACATAGCCGTCGTGTACCTTATTACACGCAAATTTTAAGGTGTGAAGTGTCACTAATGTTCTCTTGATTCTCTATTATTGATGCTAATATCTTGGGGGATTGTTTACGATGGATGGAACGTCTTGTGGGAAATTTGTAATTGATGGGTTTTGATTTGGTTTGTGAAGAGGCAATCTGAGAGTTATTCGCACGGCATGCGGCACCCCTTAATCTGAGTCTTTGACAGATTTTGAACGCAATGAGTAATTTGCTATCTGTAGCTAATTTGTATTCAAATAAAGATCAACACATAACTTATAACAATTAAAAAAAGAGATAAAAAGAAGTATGAAGAACAGGTGTATCTACCTACGGTACGGTATGGTATAGTAGGGTATAGGTATAGGTATCCATCGGGGGTTATGAAAATAGCGAGAATTAAAAGCAAAACAGAAGACACTCAATAAAAGCTAACGAGCCCCTGAATAAACAGTAACGTTCGGAAATAATTCATGGTTTAATAATCGTCCAGGAATCGTGAATATTTTTCCCGTTCACACATGAACAGATAGGTAAAGTTATTCGTAATAGGTTCAATCGCACGATTCATTGGATTGGAAGTTTGAAAATAAAAGGGAAATGGAGCGGAAGGAGTTGTTCATTCAGATTGTGATTCAGCAATTTGTTACTTAACTTGCTGTTAGTTATTGCAATGAAAACAATAACCACGTTTTAATGGCCACACGATGTGCGAACGTTTTGTTCAAATTGAAATTCACGTGCAAATAAACTATAAATATTTGCTTTGTTGGTTAGGTATCATAATGCGATTGCGATTCCCATGCAAAATAAGGCGTATAATTGAAAACAGTTTAATTAAAATTAATATTAAATTAATAGAAACACGTAAAATAATAGATATACTGTTAAACAATAAGTAAATTAATTAAACGTCAAACATGTAACTAAAACTGTTTAAAACTAATAAGTGTTAAAAATAATCAAGTAAACATAGCTAAATATATTAATCTAAATAATCTACCTCCGAAAGATTAAACTTATGGAATTAGGCACTAGCGGCACGAGTAGCCGTCACAGGAGCTGCTGCTGCTGCTGCAGCTGCTGTCTTCGTAAGTCTTCTGAACCTTTTTTGCCAACGCCGAAGCTGGGTCTGGCTCACCGGTCGAACTTCTGTCTGTGCGTCAGGAAAATCCGATGGCAAGTCCATACTGAAATCATTAATCAAAACTTTGTATTAATAGCTAATTGTAAACAATGCTGCTTCCTTTTTCTACTGCCTTTGTTCCCGCGGTTGTAGTAATAGTCTTATAGGTTATAAGGTGTTATACATCTGACACAGCTCGGGTAGCTCAACACTTTTCTCACTCAACATTTAATGTGGGAGAGTCATGCTTTGGCACTTATGGGCCGGCCCGACCGAAACGATACCACGGCCTCATAGAAAACCTGCATGAAACAACCGTAGCTTTGTTTCGTGGTGTGATTGAGCCTACTACCGGAGGCCCAATTACCTCTAATCCTCAAATTCTTATCCGCAAAAGGCTGGCTACGCACTTGTAACGCTTCTGGTGTTTCGGCGCCGACTGTTTACCGTCAGGTGATCCGTCTGGTCGTTTGTCGGTTTATCCCATAAAAAATCTACCAACTACCAAGGGTGAAGATTATTTAGAGGAATTATTCCAGCTATGGGCAGTGACGAGCTGTTGTTGTTGAATTGATGGCACATTTCAGCTTCACACACGTAGGAACTAATCCGATAATACTAACTCTATAGGATCATTTGGGGGCAGTGAAATTTCAGGGTAGAGTCTCTGAGGTGCTTGCACAGATTTCCTCGCTATACTCTTCGAAGACCTGTGTATAGAAAACAAAAATAGCAGACAGCTAGAAAATTTACAATGTCTAGAAACAATGACATGTTTATTACGCCGTGGGGGCGAGGATAGTTACTCATGATGTACATGAACCACGCTTGCCTATAAGCATTTTACTCTAAGTTTAGAGCTCCTAGTCAGATTCTGCGGATATTTTACACTTTCATTATCTTTCACTGTGTGATTGTGGTTACTAGAGGTTAGAACCTCTTCCATCCCTAATCCCCAATTCCTTAAAAGTCGGCAACGCACCGGTAACAAGTAGAGTATCGCGGCGGGCGGCGCTGATTGCTTTTATCATTCGGTTATCCATCCGCTTGTTTACGGTCCTATATTGCTATGAAAAGCCTTTAGTAGATGGACGTGAATAAGCCGCATTAACTAGATAGATTAGATACTTTATTGCACAGACAGAAAACATTGTAGTAGTAACAGTACCTATACATTGAAATTGTAATTTGAGTACAATGGACAGTCTTATCACACGCGGCGATTTCTTCTAAGTAGACTATTTTTGGATGGAATTTTTGAAAAGAATCTGGGAATGGGTGGTAGTTGCACAATAATGTAAAAGGCAAAAAAAAAACAAATTAATCCATCAATAAAATTTACAAACTATCTAATTTAACATGTATCGTAAAGATAATATCTAGTTGTCTCACAAAAATGCTAACAACTAACATAACAGAGGCTTTAGACTTCTCAGTGGTTTGGCCTACAATGGGTCGGAGCATGGTGTCGAATAGAGCGCGTGGCATGCCAATAAGTCCCACTGATATATTGAATTCCAATAACTTCTCCTCGGACCAGACACGACAAGATACAAGAACTCTAGTCGAGAACTTAACCTAAAACAAAAAAAACGAAGTTTAAGAGGTGGGTGGGACCTACAATTTTTTTTATTTATTATTAAAAAGTTGTTTTTGTAAAAATATGAAAAATGAAAATATAGGCCTAATAAAATCACATAGTTGCTTACTTCTTATATTTGACAACTCCTAATCCCATTAAACGAAAGTCGATAGGTCTTTGACAGAACATTTCGTTCATGAGCGGGGATCGTGTGTTAAGCTTCTTGTCATGATGTACGCATGGTCCCAGTAGAACTTTCTTCTCCTCAGGAATCATTTTCAAGAGGTATCCAGTCTTCAACGTATGTTCCACCGTGTTAAATATCTCAGATTTCAATAGACGGTGACATTCTAATTCTGAAAAAATTGTAAGAAATTGTGTATAAAGGTATTTATAAGGTTATACTGTAATTAGAAATAACAATCAATAAGTGAATAACCAATTTGATGAAAATTCCTGCGTCCTAGAGCCAAGTAGACAATTTGTACGGACACGCGGACAAAAGTTTCAAATAGTCGTGCGTCTTTATCAGACAACGAGCGCCTCTTCTTCTCCTTGCCCATGTGATGAAATTTTTTCATATCTCCACCACCTGGTCGATAAAAATCACGAAAATATTGGAAAGTATATAGGTATCTACCAACAAAATGTTATGTGTTATTATTGTTAATCTGCTTTTAAAAACACAAAATGTCCCTCCCTGATAAACTCTCTAGCTTTGCTGAGTAGTGTCCACGGGCGACGCTGATTGCTTACCATCAGGTGATCCGTTTGCTTGTTTGCCTCCTTAACTACCCTATCAAAAAAGTCCGTATTAAGGTAGCTCACCAATAAGCATAATGCAGTATTCCTTGGCTACTAAAAGTCTCAGATCTGACAAGTTTTCGTGAAACTGATTTTCCAAAATTTCACATCGCTCAGTCCTTACTTTATTTGCTAGGTCCGCTATGCGGGTGGACATTTCTTCTGCTACCTAAGAATGTGAAACACTGAAGTAAAATTAGGCACTAGTTTACTAGTAGTAGATAGCTATTAAATGTAAACAGATAATGTACTAGATAAACCTAACAAATGTAGGTATGCACCATCTTATTATGGAGCAAAATCCGTGTATGTATCTTTGTTTGTTAGCGAAGAATGGGGCTTACGTTTTTTTTGCTCACTAGATGGCGCAAGCATAGAAAATGGTTTTTTGTCAGCAGCTACCAAATATTGAACGCCTAATGGTGTGTATCAGCGTTTGGCTGCGACAAAATTTGGTAAAGTGGAGTGTAAATGTTAGTTTTGTAAAAACACAATACCTGTAAATAGTAGGCACAGCAAAATATGAGAGCTCTGAGAAGCCTCTCAGTGGAAGGTAAATGTAACAAATCAATGAGCATTGGGCTCAATATGCTAACGGGAGCAGTGTACAGTGCTATGTCTTTCACATCCTGAAAATTCAGGACAGATTTTCTTTTTTCTTTTCTTTTTAATAAAAAACGTTGCCCACACTAGGTTTTCTCCTGTGTCCTGGGTGCATTTATGAAATCACAATTTCACATACAAATGACACCCAGACCCGAAACAATAATTTGTGGATCACACAAAGAGTTTTCCGTGCGGGAATGGAACCCACGACACGTTGCACGGCAGCCAGTTGCCAGCCACCGCGCCAACCGTGCAGGACACTTGTTCAGTACAGAAAATAAGTCGTTTACAATTTGTAATAGAATGTACTTAAATATAAAGGCGATTTCTTGTCTCGTAGGACCTAGAATCGAGCCAAAGCATAAATTATTAGGTTGATATGTACATTACATGCTAATGATAATTTCGGAACTACAAACAGTAATACGATTTTCAAACCGGGTCATGCTCACTTGGGGTCCACAAGCTGGCAAAAAAAAAAATATACATTTATAAAAGAATAAGATAAACTAATAAAACCTGTAAAGTAACTAAATCAGTTTTTCCCGGTGTCGGTTTCCTTTGATATCGTCGTTTATATCGAAGCTACAAAGAAAAACATTACAAAGGTAAGTAAATTCACTTAAATATTTATATTGCATTAAAATGAAAGGTTGAATGGGATACCTGTTCAATTAAATCAATATCATCTCTGAATTCAATAGTTCCAGTTGGTGCTTTGGTTGTTATTTGAACTGCTTCAACGTGTGCTGGTGGAAGATCACTGAAAATTAAATAAAAAGTACAACAATCTCATTGGCCTCACCTTTAAATCTTAATGGGGTTAAGCATTATCTATTTGATATCTGCTGTTGGGTCTTAGAATAATTCGTCATTGTTTGTAATCGTTATCAGATGTCTATAAGCCCTCCAAAATACATTGTATAGCGTCCCTATGTTTGCTTTCAAGGATAATAATTTTTATTTACTTTTTATTTATGTTTTTTACTTTTTATTTACTTTTTACCCTAAGACCTCTGATAGTAGGTATACTGAGTTACTAGCCTAAGCCGGTTTATTCAATGGTAAAACTATTTCACAAACCTTACAAATAGTAATGCTTCTGTTTGCTCATCCCAAATCCAGTGGCCATCCTCATACAACCCTCCGAAACCTCCCTCATCGTCATCATCAGCCATTTTTGGTAAATGAGATAACAATTACGTTTAAATGAATGTATAAAAGTCTGATATTAATGGGTAGTTGTGATTGACCGTATGAAATGATTGTTTTCAATGGGGATTGTTTGAAATGGGATGTCAATGGGTTGACAGCATTGATAAGTTTTGACATGAACGTTAAAAATGTCAATATAAAATTATTCATAATTCTAATTGTCATTGTCATCATACTAAAAAGAAAAGGTGGACATATGCCCGAATACTGAAACGTTACTCAATTTTAAGTCGCGCTTAAGCATAGTTCTGTCTCTACAAATTCTTTGTAAAATAACAGAGATAGCATAGAAGCATGTCTTAAAATTGAGTAACGTTTCAGTATTCCAGCACTAGTCTCTTGAAAAAACGACTGTGGCACCTGGCTACTATAGACTTACACGCAGAATACACACACATTGACATGAAGGACATCTGTCGCGAGACATGCCCCATCATTTCACTTCATACATTACGGTGTTGTAAGTACACGCACACATACACCAAGGACATTTTGGTGCTTCAATCGTTTCTAAATGACATTACATCCGCCTTTTTTGCAACATCCTTGAAAGTAAAGCTTTGGGAAACGATTAAGGATTTAACTGGAGTATGCACTTCATAAATCGTTGGTGGACTTGATTACGTTACCTACAGTTATTCTATTGTGGTCTAACCACCATCATCCTTGTCATCTCTTTGTAGACACTGTTGCTGTGAGACGTGCGACCATAGTGCCCAAATGTGTATAAATGTTTTTTGCCGAGTCCCATTATTATTAGCTGCTATATTTGTGTAAATAAGCAAAGCAAATAAAACAAAATATATAAAATCATATTTATAAGACTAACTTATACAAACAATAGATACACTTTTCATGTAGGTACATACACTCATTTCACTTATAAGTCTAACTAGCGCAGATAGGGGATTTGATCTGGATGGCAACTGCCCTCCAGGTCCTAGTATCCGCGGACTTCCAATAGTTATTGGAGGGTACTTTTGTAAATGAAAAGACTGCACTTTTTGTTCTTACTCGGACCATCTAGGCAGGTCTCACCCGCACCGCCCTGGCATAGTCTGACCTTGAGCATAGTAACCTAACGAAATCAAAGTTAAAATCTCTTCTGTTTCAGTAGCTTCATCATTGATTTGAACCTTCGCAGCCAGAGTTCTCTCTGCACCTCATTCACAGGTATAGCTACATCTGGTTCGTCAATAAACCCTTCTGGAGCGGTCAATCTGTCAGAAAAATGAAAGAGAACATTTGACTTGGCTTGATAAAAATTTATTTCTTATTATTGTGTAGCATTGTGTTATAGCCGCTGATCTATCATCGATGTTTTTAACCGATATACCCGACTGAACCTAAAGACTTTCCATTCTTTATATTATGTTCTAAATGTTTGGTTATAATCCACACACACACACAGACACACATCAACAGCCTATAAAGCACACTGCTGAGCAAAGCCTCTTCTTACACGGAGAAGGCTTGAGCATTAATCACCACACTTGCTCCATGCGGGTTGGCAATTTCAAACTTATAATTAGAAATTATAAGCCCAGGTTTCGTCACGATGTTTTCCTTCACCGTTTGTCAGTGGTATCTCAATAATTTTAGAAAGTACATATAACTCGGAAAAAGTTACATTGGTACTAGTCGTTGGTAGGGTTCGAACCCGCACCCTCAAGCATGAGAAGCGGGCGTCTTCAACCTCCGGGCCACCACGACACTATAATCGGATAGAAACAAATGCTGTGAATTGTAAAATTGAAACTCATACTCGACGTCTCTCTTGGGTGGTATCACAATTTCAGGATAGGTGGGCGCGTGTGTAGATTTCTTAGCGGACATACTGCTTGCCCGCGATGCCGTAGCTTTGGCGGCGCTCATCCTAGGTCTGAGGAAGTAAATAAAATAAATCAATGAATTTTGCAACAGATATGTGTAGTTACTATATTGCAAATTGTTTTCATGAAAACTTACTATAGTTGCCTAACTCATTTCCAGCGTACTTATTTATTTATTAACGCTTCATGCACAAAGTGTACACAAGGTGGACTTAATGCCGCAGGCATTTTCTCCCAGTCTGACCTTTGGGTGATGCAGAGAAGAGTGAATGGTAGGTTATTTATTCTGCTTCATCGTCATAATATAATAGCTACGTCCGCGTGGTTTCACTCGCTCTGCTCAGTTCCTATTGATTGTAGCGTAATGTTTTATAGCCTATGGCTATAAAATCCTCCATAAATGGACTATCCAACATAAAAATATTTTTCAAATCGGACCAATAATTTCGGAGAATAGCGCGCTCAAACAATTAAACAAAGAAACAAAACTCTTTAGCTTTATATATTAGTACAAATATTAGATAAAGTATAAGATATCTAGTTGAAATTAAGTAATTAATAAAACTATATTCATATATCGCAGGTACTTACATTACACCAGACTTTGACTTGTCATTGGTGGAAGTAGGTGGTAAGAACCTGAGCATAATGTCGAACAGGTCGCGTGGCATACCTATGATGCCCACAATTATATTATTTTCCACCAAGTCTTTATCGGATCCAGCCAAGACCATTCGCAGGAATTCTAGCCGTGGAGTCAACCTAACATAACAGAATTTATTTAATACTTAACAAATAAGAACAAAACATAATGTAAGATCTTATTTATGAGACCCGGTACAACAATTTGTTACCCAAATATCTCTATTTGGAATATCTGTCTAGGATTCAAATCCGCGACACTGCAATGCAGCCGGTTGTCCAGCCACCGTACTTTGATAGTAGAAAGATATATCTTACTGAGGATACTTGGTGACTGCGAGGCCCAACATTCGGTAGTCTACTGGTCTAGCAGGACAGAAGATTTCGTTCAAAAGCGGTGAATGTGTAAAGACTCCTCGGTGGCGACGAAAGCACTTGCCGTAAATGACATCTTGTATAAACGCAGGCTGCTTTTGTTGTGTTTTAGATTGACTGGCCTGGACTTTCATGGCTCGTGCTCGTGATTTGGACTCATTTGCGTTGAAGGCCTCCGATTTTAATATACGGTGAGTTTCTATTTCTGTTGGTAATTAAATAGCATACAGACAACACTTTAAGTAGTTAAAAACAACCATTTTGAAATCGATTTATCGACATTTTTAAAGTGGATTTAGATGTAATTGTGTTACATCACTTTAAAAATCTCGGAAAAATATATATTTTAGTAAACTAACAAATATGTAAGTGGAAGAAGGAACCGGTTACCAATTTGATGTAAATTTCTGCGTCCAAGAGCCAAATAAACTATTTGAATACACAGACGTATAAATATATCAAATGTACGAGCATCTTTTCCGGGTAGGGAGCGTTTATCCTTCAATGGGCCCATGTGGTGAAATGGCTTCATGTCATCCGCACCTGCACAGGAACAATGAAACAATCTCAAGTATTAGGGGTAACTGACCAGTTAGATTACTTTGTAATGTGCTATACATTACAATGTAACTCCCCTTTTCGTCAGTTACGTTATGAGTCCCATTTAATAGGGTTTAGCTTATTGCTAAGTATCAGTTGTTATATATCGAAAAAAATCACAAAATATTTCGGTGAACACTGAAGTCTTAAGTTAACTTTTACAAATCACTTCCTAGGATTATTACAATAACGACAACGACATTGTCGAACGTCGTGGTGGCCCGAAGGTTTGACGCCAGCATTAGAGAGCAAGTTCGGCAAGCACTAATGTGACTTTTTCTGATTTATAGGTATGTACTTTCTAAGATTATTTAGACACCACTGACAAACGTTGAAGAAAAATGACGTGCGGAAACTTGGGCTTATAATTTCTAATTATAAGTTTGAAATCGCCAACCCCCATGAACAAATTTGGTGCTTAAAACCTTCTCCGTGCGAGAAGAGGGACTAGCTCCGTGGGACTAGCTTACCAGTAAGAATAACGCAGTATTCTTTAGCCACTAACACTCGGATATCAGATAAGTTATCACGCAGTTCATCTTCCAGTATTCCACTGTCCGTAGTCCTGATTTTTGTTTCCAGTTCCAGATTACGTAAAACCATTTGATCTGTAACCTGATGAAATTACATTCTTATGATAAATCCGAATCTGAGAGACCTATGTTTAGTAATCGTTGACTTGTGGTTTATGATGAAGACGATGATGGGCGATTCTTACGAATTTATCTCAAAACGGCAACCAAACCAAGTATTTCTCGACTTTACTTGATAAAGACCGAGATGTGGTACCAATGTAATAATCTGTTGATTTTATGAAACTTATCTGACGGACTTTAGTATTGAAGTCATTATTTTTAGAATTAACTATAGTACTAATAATGTCTTCGTCACCTGTAATGCGTAAGCACAATAAAGAACTAGTGCTCTCAGAAATCTTTCTCCTGTAGGTGTATGTAACATGTTAATGAGTCGAGAACTCAAGAAATTCACTGGAGCAGTGTATATCACAATATCTTTGATGTCCTGAAACATAAACACAACAATTGTTTTAGCAGTAACTGAATAATAATATGAATGATGAGGAAACCCCATTCAATAGTCCTGATTCCAAATATCATGCTAATAAAAGTAATTTTGAAAATACACAATAATATTTTTGCGAACTTTTGTGAATTTTTGCGAAATCACATAAGCAAAATTAGATTCAAATGCTTACCTGTAATGAAATTATATCAGGGTGGCCTGGTAACAGTTTTCGTTGAAAATGTCGACGATAACGCATCTAAACAATACATCATTAATTATATAAAGGCATCAGGGAGAATCATACTTGGATAGAAGAGTCCAAAAAGAAGACCGAAGATTTTTAGTAATTTTTAATTCCAACCAATTAATCTGGTAGTTCTTGTCGTGAGGGAGGTCTTAGTTCAGCAATCTTGTGGTTCATATGATAACGATGTTCGTCATGTATACAGTCCATTTAGCGAAGCAAGCTCTTGATAAAAGATTTATAATATAGAGGGAGCCAAAAAACACACAGTAGGTACTTAAAGGCAGTCTTAGGATTCTTTTACCATTTAATCGGAGACGTTCGGAGAGGTCGTTTTTGGTTTTAGAAAGTGTTTAGAACATTACCTGTTCCACAAGATCAACATCTTCTCTAAATTGCATGTGACTAGTCGGCGCCATATAAAAATCTAATGTATCTTCCTCCTCCTGAGGATGCCGGTGACTGTAACATTGAATAACAAAACATCATATAAAACATACAAACACTCACTTCTCGCCGATTTAGTAAAGTACCCACCTTACATATATCATTTGTTCTAGATTATCATTCCATGCCCAATGACCGTTTTCATAAAGTCCAATATGAAAATCGTCATCTTCAGTCATATTACAAGTTTTTATTTATATAAATAAACTTTTAGAATGCAAAACAAGCCTTATATGACACGTCGTTGAATGACGCTTTTGACTTTTGACACAAAGAATATTCAGATAACGAATATTCTAGTATAAAGGAAAAACAGAATTTATGCGTCGTTGTACCAGTATTTAACAAGGGGGAGAGGTTCGCTTAAATAAGTAACAGGCGTGCTGAGGTCAGAGTTATCTCTTTGTCACCATTGGTAACCGTCACCAAATTTCCACAGGTTTCATTGGAGTAAAGAGTATAAGAGTCGACAGGGATAACAATATATTCGACAGAGGTTAGGCAGCCGAGCTGTCTCATAAAAGTCACCAGACGGCGGCCTCGCCCACCAACAGCATCGGCAGGCCGCGCAGAGCGTGCTCGTCGCTGACGTTGGTACAGTCGCGTTAGACATCGATAAATGCTTCGAGCTCACCCGCGAGCCTCGATGACCCTTTCAAATTCATCTGTAAGTGACACTAGTGTTTTGAATATAGCTCTTTAGTCTCTTTTGTAGAGGAGGTCATGTAACTTAACTCACTATATTACTCCGTATAATCCTTTGCAGAAAATCAGACAATCAATATTATGCCTCCAAATATAATTAGATTAACTTCCAATTGTCTAATGAATATTAAAATCTTTGAACTAATAAAGTAATCTATTCCTAAGACTTTATTTAAGGTTCGTATCACTCAGCCAACGAGGCATCTTTCATAATCTTGTGCAGGATTCGCTGACTCTAGATTCGACAATTTCTTTTGTCAATGATATACGATTTTACACTTAAATATTTTACTGATTAAAGAGCCACTATAGAGGTAGTACATACAATGTAGATAGATACACTGTTATTCTTTACAATCAACAAAGACTGCCTCGTTGGCCGAGTGGTCGCAAGTGCGACTGCCGGGCAAGGGGTCTCGGGTTCGATTCCCGTGTCGGACAAAGTATTAATGGGTTTTTAAAAAAATCTCAGTAGTAGCACGGAGTCTGGAATTGTGCCCGGTGTATGGCAATAGGCTTACCCCCTATTACATGGGACTCATAACATAAATAGTGAAAAGTGGGTGTTACATTGTACAGTGGTATAATGTGCATCTCTGCCTACCCCTTCGAGGATAAAAGGCGTGATGTTATGTCATGTCATGTCATGTCAACAAAGATGCACCCCGCAATGAATCTAGATTAACCTGACAATTCGTAAAACGTTTAGCAATACAAGTGCAACCAGCAACTCAGATCGAGGATCTTTTAAAAAGACGTGTACACAACACTAGTAGCAGAATGTCTTTCCTATCCGCTTTGCGAGCTCACGTAGTACAGTTTACGTCTGTGGAACACCGGTTTATGACTGCGGAGTAGATTGAACATCGCTCTCGGCAAAGGATTAAACTCCGTCGAACGTGCTTCTCAACGAATAGGTGTACTTCATCCTTGCATCAACACCGGCTGGCTTTTGATTTCATCCAATGCAATCGAATCGGTTTTTATTAAATTTCCACGGCTTTTAACCTAGATATTCCGATGCAATAATATCTAGTTTAGTTCGTCAAGGGGAAATGCTGGTTCTATGAAGATGTTGCAAGGAACGCCTGCCTGATTGCTTGCATTTATTAAACGCCTTTTAACTATAGTTAAAAGCATTGTCTTTGGAAGTTGTTACTTTATGACTCCACGGTTGTTGCGGTGGCTGGGCAACCGGCTGCCGTGCAACGTGTCGCGGGTTCGATTCCCGCACGGAACAACACTTTGTGTGATCCAACAATTGTTGTTTCGGGTCTGGGTGTCATGTGTATGTGAACTTGTATGTTTGTAAATGCCCCCACGACACAGGAGATAATCCTAGTAGGGGCAAAGTATTTTTTTTTAAAGTTTCTCATTCTAGCAAAACCTAAACTAAGTGACTTTAAACTCTCATCTTCTATTTTCTATCTATCGGATATCTTTATATAAAACAATATACAAAAACACGTTTTTTCAATTAAAAAACTAGTACCGAACGAATTTTCGATGTTGCCACTTCATCAAAAAAGTGCACACAGTTCAGCTGCCACAGGTCCCTAATAAATAAATGAAACAGTTTAGTTTTCACTGGCAATGAAACAATTGAAATTTTGTGAAGAATGTTCATTGAGTTAGAAATATGTTCGGTTTACCAGTTACACGTGCGCTTTGTTTGTGTAAATGTTAGTGGAGCTTGAAGCGACATTCTATTTGCATGCCTATGTACACTGAATGTAATTTTGTTAGCCCCGAACGGGGATTTTTATACCAATACTGGTATTTAATGTAGCGGGAGAAAGTGTTGTAAGTTCTGCGAACTTTTTGTTTTGAAATAGATACTTCTAAGATGTGTTTTTTTTAATTAGCTGACTTTATACAACTGTTTTGTCTGTGAAGGTCTTAAGCCAAGTTACTGTAACTGTAAATAAAATTTCATCTCAATTATCAGTACGATTAAACTATTTCAAACTTATTTGAAAATGATCTCCTGAACTAAAAATATATAACATCACGCCTTTTATCCCGGAATGGATAGGCAGAGGTGCACATTACGGCAATTAATGCCACTGTATAATGTAACACCCACTTTTCTATATTTATGTTATGAGGCACAATTTCATACTCCGAGCTACTACTACTGAGATTTTTCTTTAAAACCCAGTAATACTTTGCTCGAACCGGGAATCGAACCCGAGATCCTTTGCCCGGCAGTCGCACTGTCAACCACTCGGTACATGAGGCAGTCTAAAGCAGTAAAAAAGTATTTCACTAAAAATTATAACAATTAACTTAATCAAAATTGTATCTGTTTCCTACTACCACCTACCTATCTTAATACCTACCTTACTACGCCACCACTATCAGATAATGATTTTGAGAACTAAAATTATGTTCATATTAACTACTTTGTTTCGGACCTTTAAATGTTTTGGGTAGACAATAAAACCCATTGGGTCGTAGTTGATGCTCATTGGACTACTAAGCAGTGACTATTTCATATCAAATTGTTTTTATTGGTTTAACAAAGGCAACGGATTATTATTATTATAATGAGCTATCAATCGACTGTTCCTTAATCAAAAATAAATTATTTCGACTGTTAAACACAATAAAATATAAAAAAATAATACACTTTCATTTATTAATTTTATGACCAACTTAATTTTAGTACTTTTCTAGATTTTTTTAAGAAAGAAAGGAAGGTTTTACGGTCAAGAACGTGACGTCACAATCACATTAATCCATGGACGTAATAATTATTACGTCCATGGATGGATACCCAGGTGTACTGGTGGTCGCAAGAGCTGGCGGCTCTGCGCAAGGCGTGCACTACTGCGCGACGCCAGTACACTAGGCACCGCAGGCGCCGTATCCGTCCTCCTAATGCGGAGGCGAGAGAGGCGGAGCTATACGAGGGATACAGGGCGGCGAAGGCCCTCCTCAAGGCGGAGATATTGCGGGCCAAGGAGGAGGCCCGCCGAGAGATGCTGGGGACTCTGAATAGAGACCCGTGGGGACGCCCGTACCTGATGGTACGCGACAAGCTCCGTGCTTGGGCTCCCCCGCTCACTCAGAGTCTCCGGCCAGAAGTCTTGGAGGAGGTGATTGGCGCCCTGTTCCCCCGACTGTGGAGGGGCTTCACCCCTCCGTATATGACTCCGCCCCCTGCGGTGCCCGACGCGGGCTACAGCGACGACGACGATGACATCGTCCCAGAGGTGACCGAGGCAGAATTGAGAGCGGCGGTGCGCCGGATGGGCGCCAAGAACACCGCCCCAGGACCCGACGGCCTGCATGGCAAGGCATGGGTCCTGGCCTCAGAGGCTCTCGGGCCTCGATTGATTGGTCTCTACAGCGCATGTCTGGAGAGAGGCCAGTTCCCGCTTCTCTGGAAAGCGGGCAAACTGGTCCTCGTGCGGAAGACGGGGCGCCCTGCGGACTCTCCGTCCGCGTACCGGCCCATAGTGCTGCTCGACGAGGTGGGGAAAGTCTTCGAAAGAATCATTTCGAACCGCCTCGTCGCGCACCTGACGGACATTGGGCCGGACTTGTCGGACGGCCAGTTCGGCTTCCGCAGAGGGCGCTCCACGGTGGACGCCATCATGCGCGTTAGAGACCTCACGACGGGGACTGCAGTGTCCAGGGGTAAGGTCGTAGTGGCGGTGTCTCTGGACATCGCCAACGCCTTCAACTCCCTGCCCTGGAGCTGCATCTTGGAGGCACTCCGATATCATCGGGTGCCTACCTACCTCCGTCGTGTAATCGAGGCTTACCTGACGGACAGGTCCGTCAGCTACCCCGGTCACCGGGGCGAGTGGAACCGGCGAGAGATGTCACGCGGTGTTCCACAGGGTTCGGTTCTGGGGCCGCTCCTGTGGAACATCGGCTATGACTGGGTGCTGCGCACCGACCTCCCGAACGGCGTTAGCACAATATGCTACGCCGACGACACGCTGGTGCTAGCGCACGGGAGGTCGCACCAGGCGGCGGCCGACTTAATGGCGACAGCGGTTGCGACAGTCGTTGAAAGAATCCGGCAGTTGGGACTCGAGGTGGCGCTCCACAAGTCCGAGGCCATGTGTTTTCATGGCCGCGGGAACGCGCCACCTCCGGGTGGGTCCCAAATAACGGCGGGAGGGGTTACCATCGGCGTCGAGACGGCGATGAAGTACCTAGGACTCGTCCTCGACAGTCGGTGGAACTTCATAGAGCATTTCCGACGTTTGGCTCCAAAGTTGGAGAGGACGGGGGCTGCGTTCAAACGCATCCTCCCCAACCTCGGGGGGCCAAACGCCTCCTGCCGGAGGTTATACGCCGGGGTCGTGCGGTCCATGGCCCTCTACGGCGCCCCTGTTTGGGCGCCGAACTTGTTGCGGCGTCCTGCTCGGACGCTGCTCAAGTCACAGAGGGTCATGGCGATCCGAATGATCCGCGGATACCGCACGATCGCTGGGGAGTCGGCGAACCTCCTTGCCGGATTACCGCCGTGGGATCTGGAGGCGAAGGTGCTCGCGCGCGTGTATAACATGCGCGCGGAGGCACGTCGCCGGGGCGAAACTCCGCTGCCGCGCCAGATAAGTGCGTGGCGGGATGAGCTCCGGCGCGATCTCATGGCGGAATGGCAGCAACGACTGTCGCAACCGAGGGCTGGGCTCGCTGCCATTGCAGCGGTAAGTCCCCTCTTTGAGGAGTGGCTTGAGAGACGCTACGGCGTCCTCACCTACCGCCTGACGCAGGTCCTCACCGGACATGGAAGTTTCGGGAGGTACCTGTGTCTGATGGGGCGGGAGGAAACGCCCGGGTGTCATCACTGCGAGGACCGCCCTGAGGACACGGTGGAACACACCGTAGCGGAATGCCCTGCGTGGGCTGAGCACCGCCGTGCCCTCAGGGAAGTGATCGGCGATGGCGACCTCTCGCGTCCGGGCCTAGTGCAGGCCATGATGCGGAGGAGCGAGGGGGACTGGGATGCCGTCTCCTCCTTTTGCGAAGCAGTCATGCTAGCTAAGGAGGAGGCGGGACGCGTGAGGCAGCGAAGCGCTGCCTCCTCGCGACCCAGCCATCGCGAAGGACACACCGGGCGTCGGGGATCGCGGGACGATCTCCGGCCACCGTAAGCGCGGGCCTGCGGACGGCGAGCATGGGTGGCTCCCCGTCCGACCAGAAACAGACCCGAGCGTACGGCGCGTCGCGTTCCGCGCGCGCCTCAAAGAGCCATCAGACCACCACAGATGGGGCCCAATAGGGCCGATGCCGATTCGGAGTCGCGGAGAACCTAACGGGTAACCGGGGCTCCGGCTCGACGTGCAGGAGAAGGAACGGGGTGGTTTTTAGTCAGTAAGAGTCTGACACTCCCTTCCGCCTCACCAGGCGGGAGCAGTCATTCGATGATTTTCCCCCTTAAAAAAAAAAAAAAAAAAAAAAAAATACAATCAAAAACAAAAATACCCCCTAATACCGTAAAATTTAAAGATGACGTTGACTTATTCGAACAGGTAACATATTTATTCTGTACTTACTATGGTTATGGTAGTACTTATTGGTCATATTATTTGTTTTATGCGACTATACTAGATTTATAATAGGTACTCTTTCATTGATATTATTATGTGTAACTAGCAACCCCGGCGAACTCCGTTTCGCCACCACCACCGGCTTCGTTTTATGTAACATTTCGTTTGGTGATTAAAAGTGAGTTTTCTTTGCTATAAACCTCACGGAGCCTGATACCTTTCTATCGAATGCAAAACCATAGAAATCGGTTTGTGCGTTCTGGAGTTATAGCGCCAGGAAGAAAAACCCGACTTATTTTTATATAGTAGAAGATTGGGACCATCGCGAGAAGAATCTCGGGGTAGCTTACTTTGGACAACTTATGTTCAAATATTTGAACACCACTCAATTTTAAATCGCGCTCACTATTAGTCCTGTTACTGTACAAATTCTTTGTAAAATGAGAGTTTTTTTTTGAGAGGGAAAGTCATCCAGGGCTTTTACCGCTCGGGTGAGTCGAGAAGGAATGTCAGACTTTTACTGACTAAAAAACACCCTGTTTCTAGTCTTGCACTTCGAACCGGAACCCCGGCAACCCGTTAAGCCCTCCGAAAATGACAGGGATGGCTTAAAATTCTTCCACCCACCAGAACAAAGTGTTTCGCTTAAGTTGTCTTGTGCGAACAGCTAAGAAGTCGAACGCTTTACTAGTCTGTGGTTCTTGAAAGTACTACCTGGTTGCTTCAGGGCAGGCGTGATGGATTCAATATGAGCTGCATGTCGCTTACCATCAGGGGAGATAGCGGCCATGCGCCTATCTATTATCAATATTTTTAAAATACATAGATACCGAGTAAGGCAAAATATTATTAAATATTTTTTCAATTTTTGAATTGAATGGTATGAAATGTGCAATAGACCCTTATTACCTACGTAATAGGACTTATAACATAACGTACCTGGTGAAAAGTGGGCGTTGACTATGACTTCTTATATTTTTTGTTATGGCGATTGGCAATGTTGTTGTTAATTTCAATATGAAAATATTTTCTTTTAGATACGTTATCGACGAGGTTATCAAAGAAGATTGAAATCAGGAGAAGCAGACTTCATTACCCTGCAGGTTATAGTTGTTTTTCCCTATTTATTACCTTTTTATTTTATTTATCACAAGATTGTCGCCCAAGGCTTCAATTATGTGGTCATAGGAAAAAGCCAATACACTCTTCGCTCTCCTAATTATCTCCAAAAACCAAAACCAAAACCTACCATAATGACCATCCTTTGTGACGTAAAAGAAAAATAAACGAAGCAGACTATCGAATTTATAAAGTTAGTAAGGACATATCGTTGAAGTGTTGAGTGTTGACGAAGCATGCTACGGCACGAATGGGCCAGCTCGACCGAAGTGATTCCACAGCCTCACAGAAGACCGACGTGAAACAACGCTTGCATTGTTTATCGTCGTGTGATTGAGGTTACTGAAGGCTTAATTACCCCTCCCTCCCTTTTCCAATCCTGCATCCCCAACAATCCTCAATTCTCAAAAGACCGGTAACGCGCTTGTAACGCCTCTGGTGTTCCAGGTGTCCATGGGCTACGCCGGTTGCTTACTATCATCCACCTGCTCGTTTACCGGTTTATCTCATAAAAAACCTATTACAAAATATTGCATTGTCATATATTACTATATTTCAGGATATAAAAGACTTAGCATTATTCACGGCTCCCGTAAGCATTCTTAGCACTAAACTTATAAATATGCTACATACGCCAACCATAGAGAGATTTCTACGAGCACTTATTCTTTGCTGCATTTATCATTTGCAGGTAACAATCATAATATTTTATCAATAAAATGTGAAATAAGACTTGTATCTTCAAATTATTTATTATTTCTGCGTAGAGTGATTGGTTTTCGAATTTGTAGTCCTTGCGTAGACATTTCATTTCTTAGACGCCGCCGCCGCGGCTGTCGCGTAGTCTCTGCGTAGTCTCCGCGTAGCCAGCACGTAGCCAGCGCGTAGTCAGGGCGTAGCCAATGCGTACTCGTAATCTGTTATTAAATTTTGTGGAAGTCTTGTAGATTCTGTATCAAATATGTACTTACATACTGTAGTATCTAATTTTGAATATGATACTTGTAAGGCGATTGTCGCATAATAAATTACTTTATTATTTACACTGCAGTAATAACTTTAATGTACGCACTATTGCATTTATCACCAGATAGCTAGAGAAATGTCGAAACGAATTTCGGAGCTTTCATCGAAAGTGAGAACACCGAACTGCGATCGAATCGAAAATGAGTTCAGGGAGAACTTAGCTGATCTGAGGTTGTTAGTAGCTAAAGAATATTGCATGTTACTGATTGGTGAGTGTTTGCAATTCAAGACTAATCTGATTAGCGGCTTATTCATGAAATTGTTCGATGAGGTTACTCGACTAGTATCAATGTGAAGCATTAATCACAAGTAGCTTGCATAATAACCGACGCAGCGAGCACGTAGCCAACTGGATTTACATGTTTACAATACTTTTATTTTTATGTAATTTCATTATTGACAGCCTCGTTGGCCGAGTGATCGCAAGTGTGACTGCCGGGCAAGGAGTCTCGAGCTCGATTCCCGGGTCGAGCAAAGCATTACAGGGTCTTTTTTTAAATAGATATCAGTATTAGCATGGAGTCTGGAAATGTGCCTGGTATATGGCAATAGGCTCACCCCCAATTACAGGGGACATTACATAGAGAAAAGTGTGTGTTACATTGTACAGTGGCATTAAGTGCCGTAATGTGCACCCCTTCGGTGATAAAAGGCGTGATTTTATGTAACTTCATTATGCCATTCAGGCCCCAATATATCCTAAAACTGTACTCAATACTGTACGTGTACCCATCCTTCAAATGTTTTGTTTCCCTAACTGCCATTGCTCAGCAAGCCAAAATAAGTTGGAGATTACAGCAAACTTTCAATAAAGTGAGAGGGTCTTTTTCAGCAGTAAATATGCTTTGGCTGATGATTATGATGATGATGATGATAATTTGTCGTATAGGTGTAGGTGACATGAAGAACTACCATCACATGGGATGTAAGAAGGATCAGCGGTCTTTGTCAGACATCGACCAAAGATTATTTGAAGCACTCGTGCGTATCAGTATACAAATAGTGTGGATAGCGCTTGGTCGAAAACATTTTTGTGAAATAGGTAACTGTATTGTAACTTTCGTGAGACATACTAAATAAATTATTATGTTTTCGGCTTACTCACGTAATAATTTGACGAGGAACTCGACTAGTTTCAAGCCATGCTAGAGGCTCATATTCATTAGCAGCATTTCGCTTCTAATTATTATAATAATAATTTAAATTGCTAACTGTTTTAAAATAATATACGTATGTATAAAGACAAATACGATAACGACGGCACGGTTGGTGCGGTGGCTGGACAACCGGCTGCTACGCAACGTGTCGCGGGTTCGATTCCCGCGCGGAGCAACTCTTTGTGTGATCCACAAATTGTTGTTTCGGTTATGGGTGTCGTGTGTATGTGAACTTGTATGTCACGACACAGGAGAAAATCTTAGTGTGGAGCAAAGGTTTCAAAACAAAAACTCTCTTGCAATTCCTCCGAATGCATTTATTGCATATCGCATTTAGTTTTTAGTAAAAAAATTCGCTCCTTGTTATCAATCAGACACCTTGCTCCTAAATACAAAACAATTTTCCTGACACAGAATGTAGCACTCAAGGCATTGTACAATATTTGTCTATAGAATGTGAAACTCATCGTATATTAAAGTCGGAAATATTTAATCCTGTGGAGCATTCGTTAAAGACAGCATTTAATTTTGTACCCTATATGGAGCCGGGGGAACGATCGGTGTTGTTCGGACGTTGTGTTCGCCTGGACAGGATGACAAAGACACGATCACCATTGATGAATGATGTGTTTTGCCACAGATCTAATAATTACCGCTTATTAGGACTTGGAGTTATCAATTATCCACAGTAAGTGCACGTATTGTTCTATTTAATGCAATTACACTAAAATTATTTAATTTTGTTTTTGTTTCGCAAACAATTTAATCCAATTTTGGTGGCTTTTTAAAGCAATTTTTATAAAGCTAGTTGCGTATTGCGTCGTAAGGCGGTTGCGTTTCAAAGAGCCATCAGGCCACCACAGATGGATTACAATTGGGTGGAGCCCCGGCAGCTCCAGCTCAGTGCAGGAGTAGAAATAGAGTGGTTTTCAGTCAGAAAGAGTTTGATACTCCCTATCGCCTCACCCACGGGGGAAAAGTAATTGGATGTTTTCGCCCTTCAAAAAAAAGTTGATAATAAAATATTAAACTGATAGTCATTGTATTAATTTCTTACATTTTTGTTCCAAATTGTGGTAATTGCAATTTTAAGGTTGTCACCTCGACTGAAGTATTTATATACATATGTGGCCGGTACAGAAGAGGCTTTAGTGAATTCAGGCTTAACGTTGGGTATCATTGGTCTACCACGAGCTCAATTCGACACCATGTTACGTCTTCTCCCGCCCCCGCCTCCATGTGAGCTTAAGTCTAAAAGCTTACTGTAAGTGTACCATGCCTACTTCTTAACGCTTATTAAGATTTTGTAGAAGCAAGAAAAGACACTAGTGTAGAGTGCCTTTTAGTTATTCGACTGAATGGGATTTGTTTAGTAGCTGACTGTGACTATGATTGCTATTGGATAAGGCTGGGTCAATGATGTCCAAAACAGGTTGATGATGATCATCAGAACAAAATTGATATTGTTCAACAATTCTAAGGATTCACGAAGCGGTTTTGACCCATGCCCGTGGTGTTATAGAAAACAGATATTTATGTATAAAATTAAAGCACATTTCACGATGCTCTTTATGCCCGCACCGCGGCGTTGCGATTGTTTGCGGGTCCCGTTGCACTGGCAGGTGACCGCAAGCTTATCGATGAATATGTTTTATATTATTTTATTCAGGTTGTTACAAAGTCCTGTTACCTCAAGAAGCACCATGAAGAAAGTTAAGCTCGTGCTGCCACCTATCAAGATACCACATGAAGACCACACCTAGTTAGTAGTTTCAATATCTAATTATATATGAATAAAATAGTTCCAAGATTTTATAGTCGCCCATAACATAGAATGAAAATGAGAATAATCATAGAAAAAAAGGGTAGAGTGTGTTAATAATTATATGGAAGAGATAGAAATTTGTAGTGGATGACGGACGACCTTTGCTTGGCATGAGATTAAAAAAAACTAATACGGTCAAAGGTCAAAAGTCCACTGCCACCGTAAGACTACTATCAGTTGCGCTGCAGTGCTTATACACACATGCACACGCATATTTTTATCCTTGTGCGTACGCGTGCGTGTATTTATGCGTACGCACGCGTTTTTATGCATATTAATATGAAATTACTTACGCATTGCAGTGTGAACATCACTCACGGTGACAGTGGGCTTTTGACCTTTGACAGTACATACTTACAAGAAGTTTAGGATAAAGCTAGGAAGAAGAAAGATACTTTAATGTCGTGCTTCAAGTGCACTAGAGTAACCTTTTCGATCATTTTAAAAGTACATAATAGATTAATATTTTGTAGACTCTAGTATTGTTACTGGATGTTAACATTGATAATAATTCTTAGTTATTATATTAATTTCAGCGTCGATTGTCCTCCATCGTTTCCATCTGAGTTCATTCAAGGAAATCCAATCAGTGAAGTACAGCATAAACGATGGCTTCAACGATTGAAGACACTGTTAAGGTCATCCGACATTTAAAAAGCACGGCTCCAACCCAGCCATTAAGTTGTCATTCAAATATGAACTTTAAATCGTATGTGATACATTTTGTAACGTCAATATAAAAATCCAACGGCAGGTGGGCACCGCGCGGTCCCCTTGCGGTGTAGTCGAGCACCTTCGTGCTTACGCGGCAGCGCGGCTTCGGCGAGGCGTCGGCGCGGCGTCGGCGAGATGACGGCAAGCCGCCCACCAGGCACCAGCGAAACAACGTCACATCGGTAGGCATTGTTTAAAGCTTTTACCTCGCGGCCGGGGCGCCGGCCGCGCGCCGCCCGCGGTTGGCAAGCGCGTGGTCATCTCGCTGACGCAGCGCCGCCCGCTAGTTGGAAGCGCATGGACAACCAAACTATTACCATAACTATTTTATATACAATTCGGGTTATTTTTTTGTCTAAATCATGTATAACAAATAGAGGTAATCGATTGATGATTCCTTGAGAATTAGATTCTTTGTTATGATTATTTCTAATATTCATAGTACTTAATGATACTTAAATATATTATACCTTCAGTGTGTTTATTTTGTTTCAAGTGCTTTAATAGCGATTGCCAAGCTCTAGGAAGACTATTATATCTAAAATGCAATATTGCAATTTTCATAGCACTAGAGAATGGTGACTGGATCTTTATAGTTTTATTACGCCGCTTTAATAGGAATAATGACAGGGTATCAAAATTAAAAGTTTAATTAGTCCATCAGTTAAGTAATGAAAAAACCGACTTCAAAAACAAATGACAAACAAAAAGTAAAAACTAAAAAGGAAAAAAAAACTATTAGTGGTCATACGTACTTATAGCTTACACACCCACTGATAGGTTAGAAGTCGGTGCCACAAGTTTTAAACAAAATTATTCATTAAAAACCTAAGATTATTGAGCTGTTTACAATTTTATTATGGATTATACCAGCTGTTACTTTTGTCTACTTTATATTTTATTGTGGGTTTGTGGCACCGACTTCTAACCTATCAGTGGGTGTGTAAGCTATAAGTACGTATGACCACTAATAGTTTTTTTTTCCTTTTTAGTTTTTACTTTTTGTTTGTCATTTGTTTTTGAAGTCGGTTTTTTTAAACGCAGTTTTTTAATTTAATTTTATACTTTTTAGTTTAGTACTTTGATATATTATATTATACAAAACCCACATGGATGCAAAGTTTTCATCAATACAAATTATGCAAGTTCAAACACCGGGTGGGTAATCTTAACCATTGAGGAGTCACTTAGCTATCATACTACTTCGTCATTAGACCTTTAATGACCATCACCCCCCCCCCCATCTAGTTGTAAAGTCCTCATCAATACAAATTAATCAAACCTAAACACAAGGTAGCTACTGTTAACCGTTAAGGAGTTCCCTCAACTATTGGACTACTTCATCATCAGACCCTTATTGACAATTACACCCCACTCAGGTGTAAAGTAATCATCAATACAAATTAATCAAACCCAAACACAAAATACCTACTGTTAACCGTTAAGGAGTTCCCTCAACTATTGGACTACTTCATCATCAGACCCTTATTGACAATTACACCCCACTCGGGTGTAAAGTCCTCATCAATACAAATTAATCAAACCCAAACACAAGGTAGCTACTGTTAACTGTTAAGGAGTTCCCTCAACTATCGTACTACTTTATCATCAGACCCTTATTGACAATTACACCCCACTCAGGTGTAAAGTCCTCATCAATACAAATTAATCAAACCCAAACACAAGGTAGCTACTGTTAACCGTTGAGGAGTTCCCTCAACTATCGTACTACTTCATCATCAGACCCTTATTGACAATTACACCCCACTCAGGTGGAAAGTCCTCATTAATACAAATTAATCAAACCCAAACACAAGGTAGCTACTGTTAACCGTTGAGGAGTTCCCTCAACTATCGTACTACTTCATCATCAGACCCTTATTGACAATTACACCCCACTCAGGTGTAAAGTCCTCATCAATACAAATTAATCAAACCCAAACACAAGGTAGCTACTGTTAACCGTTGAGGAGTTCCCTCAACTATCATACTACTTCATCATCAGACCCTTATTGACAATTACACCCCACTCAGGTGTAAAGTCCTCATCAATACAAATTAATCAAACCCAAACACACGGTAGCTAGTGTTAACCTTTGAGGAGTTCCCTCAACTATCGTACTACTTCATCATCAGACCCTTATTGTCAATTACACCCCACTCAGGTGGTCTTCCATCATCAGATCCTGATTTCCTTATCATTGGACCATTCTGGAACTATCTCCTTTCTAACAAAAAAAGAATTTTCAAAATCGGTTTATAAACAACGGAGATATCGGCGAACAAACATAAAAAAAAAAGCATATATCCTCCTCCTTTTTTTGAAGTCGGTTAAAAAATAATAGACACGATTTCTTATTTTGCCGTATAAGAAAACAATACATAAATAAAACGAATCAAAGTTTAGACGTCATTTTAGAGTATAAATCGTACTCAAAAGTGACGTCATGCGATATTTCAAATCAATATAACTTCGAAACTATTCGTTGCCGTAAGAAAATAAAAAATACGTGTCGGACATTAAAATAAAAATTGGTCATCTACCCTATTGTCAAATTGCAAATTGTGATGGAAGGCTTCTATGGCAGTTTTCTGACCAAACTAGGGAGTATGAGAAATAACTGTCCAGTCAACATAGATACAAAGATTATTTGTGAAGGCTAGGCTAATTGTCTATAAGACCTACATTATAGTTTCTATAACATTTCGTTGGAATAACCTAACGAATACTCGAGTACTAATTTTCTAATTATTTATATCAATCAATCAATCAAAAATATCAATCATTCTTTGAACACGTTAATAGCGCTTAGATCACGCCTATCACGTCTATCACGCTATTTATGACAGGTAAATGAAAGTTTGGCATTTAGGATTACTGTTTCATATTTAGGTAATTGATGGAAATAATTAATTAGATATTCGTTAAAGTCTAGTTACTTATTTATGAAACTTTTCAATTGTATTTAGAGTAACGGTAAAGTAGGACTAGAGCACGATAAAATAAGCAAAGGATTAGTCCTTTGCTTATTTTAAATGACTCAAAATGACTCAAATTCTTAGGATTCTTAGGAATTTGAGTCATGAAACATGTCAAAATGACTCAAATTCCTAAGAATTTGAGTCATTTTTGTTGAAATTATCCTTTTAGAATAAAAAAGACTTAGTACCTTAAAATGAGATATATTTAAATACGTATTTATAAAAGAAAAAGAACAGAAATGTACAGATACGTATGTTATCTTGAGTTATGTGTACGATACTTGTTCACAATCCTTAGGTACCTTCGAAGCCATTTCCTTCGCTGTTTGTCATCACAGGGCTTTCGTGGATACGATTCTGTTGGGAACTCACTCGGTAATTCACTGTGAAAAGACAAATTACAGAAATTTAATTAGAGGAAATATAAACCTTTGGGATCGGTGTTAGTGAACATATAATGTAATACTATCTTCCCGTTCATATGTTAAAGAAAAAATTACATACATCACTCTTCAACCTCCTAATTTTATCCAGGCACTAAAATAATACCATACTTCAGAAATTCGAACTCAAAAACATTTATTTTAATTAAACCATAATTTGGTACTGCCTCGTTGGCCGAGTGGTCGCAAGTGCGACTGCCGGGTTCGATTCCCGGGTTGGTCAAAGCATTACTGGGTTTTCAACAAATTCTCAGTGGTAGCACGGAGTCTGGAATTGTGCCCGAAATATAGCAATAGGCTCACCCCCTATCTCATGGGACCCATAGCATAAAATCGTGAAAAGTGGGTGTTACATGGTACAGCGCTATTATAAGTGCCATAATGTGCACTTCTGCTTACTCCTTCGTGGAAGAAAGGCGTGATGTTATGTATGGTTGGTACTTTTGAAACGTCAACGAAAATATTGTGACATGTAAAATACTTCAAAAAGTTTTTTACAATTGAAAACTATTTCCTGCCCCAGTTTTTTCCAACAGGAATAAAACCTAATAAGGGAAAGTCTTGTAAATACCACACGAGCGAAACCATGTGATATTAGTGATGTAATGTTGATAAATAGTTGTTATTCGTGTCATTGAGAATGGTTGCAATGTTGCATTTTGCAATATATATATGTCAAACGCATTCTATTTGCGGACGATCGATTTGCGCGGTTTAATTACCTCACGACAAAGCACTTTATTACAAATGGTTAGTACTAGTTGTGCCCACGAATTTATTCTATGGGTATTTTATTTTTATGGGGGGGATAATTATCGAATGACTTCTCCCGCCTGGATGAGGCGGGAGGGAATGTCAGACTCTTACTGACTAAAAACCACCCTGTTCCTTCTCCTGCACGTCGAGCCGGAGCCCCGGTAACCCGTTAGGTTCTTCGCGACTCCGAATCGGCATCAGACCTATTGGGCCCCATCCGAGGTGGTCTGATGGCTCTTTGAGGTGCGCGCGGAACGCGACACGCCGTACGGTCGGTTCTGGTTCTGGTCGGACAGGGAGCCACCCATGCTCGCCGTCCGCAGGCCCGCGCTTACGGTGGCCGGAGATCGTTCCGCGATCCCCGACGCCCGGAGTGTTCTTCGCGATGGCTGGGTTGCGAGGAGGCAGCGCTTCGCTGCCTCACGCGTCCTGTATCCTCCTTAGCTTATACCGTACGGGTATACCGTACACTTTCACTTAGTAAAAAAATATAATCAAACCCATAAGGCCTAATTTCTTTGAGACTAGTTCATGTATTTTCAGGAAATGCTATGAAAAATAGATTGCTACAGTATAATTTGTTGTTTTGTTAAGATTGTAGATTGAAAATCTGATGTTCATTGTACCGTAGTTTGCTCCCACGACACCCATCGGAATAGGAGGGGTGGCAGCACAATATATCCTTATGTACCATTGCCAAACGGTATCATTAAAAATAGCATTAATAACAGTTTTAACAGAACCATTCCAATGATTCTAATTGAAAACGAAGCCAACGAATTCAAAAAGAAAAAAATTTGTACTAACACTAAGATATCATAGAGTGAGAGTTCCTTTGTCGTAGTTGGACTGAATTCCCGGTATTTCGAAGTTTGTTCTAACAAGCAAATTCGCTTTGACATATGTAGGTGCCTGTACATACGGCTACACATCAAGCTATGCAGAACCAGTATAATCTGGCCGTTGAATGTACGGAGAGGTTATACAAAGCGTAATCATGATAAACTGGTTTTTTGTAGCCGTGCAATCTAAATGAACTTGTAGTGTGGTTCGACACCGTACGTAGTGAGAGCCTCCCGGATAGGTGTTAACGACGTTTTACTCGTTTACAAAGCAATATTTTCTTAACTTAATGACTTTTTATTATAATAGGGGCATTTTTGCAGCAAGGAGGTACAGACAGCATTTATATTTAATAAATAGTTCTGGCTAACCTGAATCTTTCGACCTCGTGTTAATGCAACGGAAAACGAAATAAGAATCCACATATTATATATATATAGGTTTGGTCAACATATTATATATCACCAGATTTTTTCTTAATGAGGCCTGATATTTAATGGAGCTCATCTCACGTGGAATTAGAGATTATTATGTTAGTCATCATTGTTATTATTTGAAAAACCAATGACAAGAATACAAATGATTTACAATTGAATTCCTTTCGTAACATCTCCAGATACTTAAAAGCAGTACCTACTTAACAAATTATTATGAAATCAGAAACGCACATGCATAATTATGGAATGCATTAGTATGAAACGATCGAGGTCAGAACTGTCTCGTTGTTACTTTAATGATCTCAATTGTTCGATATGTACTAAACGTTACTTACGACTTTGTTCCTGCAATATCATTGACAAACAATAATTTTAACACACGAGAAACATAAATACAGATAATTCTGACGGCTCAGTGGTCTTTTGTTGTTGGTTCTCAAGTTGTCTTTTTTTAAGGAGGGAAAATCATCGAATGAACTCTCCCACCTGGGTGAGGCGGGAGGGAGTGTCAGACTTTTACTGACTAAAAACCACCCCGTTCCTACTCCTGCACTTCGAGACGGAGCTTCGGTAGCCCGCGGTTCTCCGCGGCTAAAGAACAGATTCAATGCTGGGATTGAAACTGCGACTCGTCATCGTAAATCTCATGCGATAACCATTGCTGTCTGGATAGCACATGGTCTGATATTGTGTGTGCGGTGAATCTCCGCAATGGCGTCCAGTGTCACGGTCACAGGCAGAGGAAGGACACCGCGGTGGTTTTAGCCGATAAGAGACCGGCACACCCTTTTTTTAAGGGGGGAAATCATTCACGCACCGTACGTAAGGCCGGCTCACCCGCACCCCCTCGTTGTGCCCACGGCGTAAGAAGTCAAAGAGGATTTCCATCACGTTATAAAAAAATGGTTTGATTATTTGTGTCCGGCTATAAGACGTGCCCCTTATTACACGAGATTCATAACATTACTTATTAAAGAAGGTGTTGCATAGATTAAGAAAGGTGTGACGTTGATACAAATAACATTATTTAGCACTTACTCATCAGCGCCCTAGGAGGTAACTCTATGCTGCTGTACATTGGCACCTGCTCCAGTGTTGATTTCTTTCGAGAAGTTGCACTTTTTGTACTTCTCGAACTCGATCTAAAATATATTTGAATAGTTAAAAACATTGTTTTTTATTATACATACAATACTATTCAGTATTGCAAGTGTAAAAAGATTTAAAAGCAAACGATATTTGAATTACCTAATTATGTTTATAATAATTAAGAAATTTGATTAATTCATTCATTCGACTAACGAATGTTCTTAAAAACGTAGTTCTTTTAGTATATTGCAACTTTATAAAAACAAATAACTAACTAATAAAATATAATAGAATTATATATATATACTTTGTAAATAAATACGCACTTATTAAGGTTGCCACTGCTGGATTCTCTTCTCCACACAGTTCTCTCAATAAAATATCGAACCGTGATCTTGGCAACCCTAGTATCCCCAATGAGATTTGGGTGGGTTGCAACAAGTTTTCCGGCAGTGATAAAGCACATTCCATGTAAGTGAGGCGAGAACTTAAACTAAACGTTTTATTATTATAAAATTGGTTAGGATTGGTCCAAAATTTAAAGTCTTAGATACTAATGAGGACACACTGAGAGGATGTATAATGCCATGTAAAATGTGGATAAAAATGTGAAACAAAACCAAATCAAAATGTCATGGAGTAAAGAAAGATGTATGGCATTATTAGTATGTAATGTACGATACTAGACTACTCTGGTTAGTGCTAATGGTAAGCCGCGACAGACTTCCATTTTTGCTAATCATATCCCTAGTCAAATTGTATTGTACTGTAGCATAGTCACAATTTGAGACAGATATGGTATGCAAATGGATGTAACTTTTTCCAGTTTTTCTCTTACCGAGGATACTTGACAATACCAAGGCCGAACATACGGTGGTCAATATTGCGCTTGCTACAGTGCACCTCATTCATCAGAGGTGACAGCATGTCCACTTTATGCTTCTTACGTATACAGTGACCCATCAACACTTTGCGTTCATGAGGGGTGATGTCTGCTTTTTTACTCTCAGCAGTCAATTTATGTTCCGCCGAATTGAATAAATTCGACTTAAATATTCTATGGACTTCCAATTCTGTAATATGAACATTTGTAAAGAAGTTTTTATTGGGAATTTTGTTTGTTGGACGCGGAATAAAATATTGATGGTGTTTTGTAAGTTGGAATGTAAATTCTGGCAAAGTGACAGTTGCAATAAAAACTATCGGAGCTTTGGCTGTAAAAATTTGATTTCTTCAAGTTACTAAGATATTGGTAAAAGACGTATCGGAAGAAATTGCTAACGATGCTTACCAATTTCGTTGAACGATTTTCTGCCCAGTGCTATCCAAATGATCTGTATGCTGAGTCGTAGGAAGGTCTCAAACAAGAAGCTCTCTCGTCTATTCATGATCGCATCTTTTTAGATGGGCCCATGTGATGGAATTTTTCGAATTCACCAGAACCTGAGAAACAAATATTGAGGTTATTATTTTTGAAATATTGCATCGGTTTATCATGACTAAATCACAGCCATGAAAGAATACATCATTTTCATATTAGGTACAACTGATTCCCTCGAAATCCCTAGCCTTCTCTCCTTACAGTATAAGGTAAATATAGCAGTTACTGTACCATTTATCATGTTTGAATATTCTTTAGCTACAAGTAGGCGTAGGTCTTCTAAATTTTCCATGTAACGCATTTCTACTATTTCGCTTCTGTCCGTCCGAATTCTTGACAAAAGTTCAATCGTACGGTTGTTCATTGTTTCCGAAGTCTGTATATTAAAGATAAAATTAAAAAAAAATGTAATCATTGATTACACCCTATTTCGATTAGTGAAAGCTAAATATTTATATGCTTCAATGTTATTTAACTAGCTTATTACTGACTGAAACAAGTAATACATAAAAAGTAGTTTTATTAGTGATAGAAAAAGTAGATTATATTGTATGGTCATCAAGATTAAAAGTATGTATCACATATCAAATTAACCTGTCGTTTGGAAGGGGCTAAAATTCCAATAACTAAATTTGATCCAAACAAACAAATTATTATAAAATTATATTTTATGTTAATTGTATTTTACTCATAACATAAATTGTATTATAATTTATGTTTACAATATTACGAAAAAAGTAAAAATAATAAGTAACTTATGTATTGTACCTGCAAATGGTATTGACACAAGAAAATGAGACCTCGCAATATTCGCTCGGTACCCGTCATGTGCAGTAGGTTTATCAAATATGGTTTTAATATTTTGATTGGAGCAGTGAACAGGACTACATCTTTTATGTCCTATAGAAAAATAAGAGCATTAATATTTGTAATCAATTGTGTAGCAGTGTCATCTGTCATCGTGTCTGCCGTATCAAAGTAAAAGTTAATAAAAACTTCCCATGTTTTTGTAATAACTATCGTGAGATATACTAAATTAAGAAAAAAGGCGGATTACTCAGTGAGCTGCGCGACGTCGCCGCGACCGCGCACGCTGCTCATGAGGAAGAACCCCTCTGTGGTTCGAGCTTTTCTCAGTATATTCACGTGAGTAATCCGCGTTTTTACTTAAAAACTTCCCAATTTTTATTTTATTTCAGTAATCAGTTCCAGGCTCCCGCGTAAAGCATACGTTCCAATGTTGGCGTGAGCCGAAAGAAAAGAAAGTTTTCCAGTATTCACACAAATTATTAGTATATTAGGTTTCTTTTCTCTTGTAAGAAATCTTTATCATTCATAAGGGCCCCCAAACAAATTTTTATACGGGGCCCCGCCAAGACACGCTACGCCACTTGTCTGTAGCTACATTTGCTAGTTTTCATTACATTGCAATATTTCGTTGCATTATACAAGGAACTATGCAATGTTAAACTAATATCATTTATTTATATATTTCAATCGTCTTTACAGAATATATTACTGTTATATTATATTAATCAATCTTTAATTATAATTGGAAATATTAGTATCAGGAGAAATTAATTATAAATACAACCTGAAGAGTAACCACATCGTTGGGTTCGGGCTTCCGTTGCATACGTTTTCTGAATCGATTCTGAAATTATAATTTTATTTATTTTGGATATTCAATCATACTTCAACAGTCCGTCACTGTTCGCTGCTGTCCAGCAGTGAGCATCCTTTACATAAAAGGTGTTTACTACGATACGATTTGCGACCGGGTAGGAGATCACACTTTCAAAGGTCCAGGTTTATCAGAGAGCGTTGCTGCTTGATCACTTTTATACCGTGCCCACGCTAGCGCGGAGGCAACCGCATGATTATTGTTCCTACTCATCGCAGACGCAAGACGTGCCACGTTAGCGTAGGTACGGCGTCAACTGAGTCCCTTAGTGGACTCTTACGGCACCCATGCGAAGAGAAGGGTCGGTGGCTAATGTACTCTATTCTACAGTCACCACATAGTTTAATAGCTCAACATAGGTACTTGTTCATTAATGTCGATATCTTCCCTGAACTCCACTGAGCCAAGGATAGCAGTAGCCAATTGTGGAGCGTCTGGTGGTTCCTCGGGCAGGTCACTGGAACAGTAGAGAAACATGTAAAACAGTATTTTATCTTTAAAGTGAACAAGAACATGACTTTATTATTTTATCACGTATTTATTAGATAGTCAATACTATACTCGGAATTTTAATTCGATTCCAGATTTGACAATTTCAGTGTGGCAACGTTATGACAAGTACTAAATAGTGACGTTACGAAATTATTCGATATGGAAATGCAATATTTCTGGATCGATTCTTCTCGTTTATAATAATTATAATTTTACTCTCGTGAACTAAGTATATCAGGAAATTAAATATTTCTGAACTGATAATTTAGTTTTGACGATTAATTAACGATCTGAGACGTTTCTTTTATAATTGTGTGTGATATAAATATAAAAATGTAATCATGAAGGAATATGACAAATAAAACAGATAGATGTATTATGGTAATAAGTTATTTTATAAATTGACGCCGTCATCGCTATCGCTATCCTGTCACTTTGTAACATTTATTATAAAACACACACACTGATTGTTTATCGATTTTTGTGTGCATCACTACACTATTATATGTGGTATCATTATTTCACAAAATGACAGTAGCTATTGTCAAATCTGGAATCTAATTAAAATTCTGACTATACACTTATTATGATTCACGACGTCAATACAAGGACAACAACCGAAGACGTCTGTTGAAGAAATCCTTTTCCTGTAGGAAACTGACTAGCTGATTACATTTTTTTTTCACCAGAACTTTAAAAACTGGTATGCAATACCACATACGATTTTAAGAAATCAAAGAGGTATGTTCAAAATATTCTGTGTACTTAACCTCTAACCTATGTTGTGCACATATAAAAACTTGTACTTGTACTTAAGTTAAGAAGTCCTGTATGCGATACTCTGTAGATACCTTTTGAACACGAGTGCATTCACTTTATCATCCCAAATCCAGTGTCCATTTTCATAAATACCTCCGAATACGTCATCGTCATCATCATCCATCGCTCTCGACATTCTGCTTACTTATTAAAAGTTATGAGATAAAACTTCTAAAATAAATCTATTTATACAAACAAATACATTACAATAGAAAATTAATAATATTGATAAAATCTGACACAATACATAATAGCAGAACTAATCAAAGAGAAAAGTTCCCCTATACCTACTTATACTCTTTGGAGTAAAGTCAAAGATATACATGAGCAAAGAGTAAAATACGGAAAATAAATAAATGCGTAGACAAGTTTTCTCAAAGAAAATGTATCGGGTCTCAATAATTCTTCTTAGTTGAAATCTGAACATTTTCATTTTAGGCTGGATTTACTGAACACATTTAGTTACGTTACAATACCATCTGCACAAGAAATTGGAGTGAAAATATCACCTCATCAAATGTGACTTAATGTTATCTAATTGGAGGGGTTCTCGTGAAGATTTTAGCATACAATAAATATAATCTAGCTATGATACAGGGTGAGGGCTAAAGGAGACTTTGAAAGTGTTTGTTGGACCGTAAGCGAGGTTCGCTCGGCCGTCCGTGAACCGCTCATGGGTTCCTAACGAATTCATACACCACCGATGTAGTGGAAACTCGGGCAAGGGCGAAATCATATTAATAGATACAAACAAGATACCATGAAATTGGATTATGTTAATAAATACTGTTAATATTTCATAAGCTCGGGGATCTGTGATATTATAAACGAGTTAGTTACCAGATTAATATGAACGGTTTTTTAAAATGACTTGACGTCCCGTCCCATATATAAACTTTATTAGGGGAACTTCATATACGCAATAGAACCCAAAATAATGATTTTTAGAATTTTGGTCAGTTAGTCTGTATGTCTGTACGTTTGTTCGCGCTAATCTCAAAAACGGCTTAACTTAACTGAACGTAGTTTTCATTATTGCGCTGCGGTTAGCTGGAATTAAGATTTAGACTTTGTTTTGTGTAAATCGTATTTGTCGTGTCGGTCGTATCGAGCGTGTTTGTCGAGTATGTCGTGTTTGTCGTGTCGGTCGTGTTTGTCATATCGGTCGTATCTGTCGTGTCGGTCGTATTTGTCGTGTCGGTCGTGTTTGTCGTGTCGGTCGAGTTTGTCGTGTCGGTCGAGTTTGTCGTGTCGGTCGTATCTGTCGTGTCGGTCGTATTTGTCGTGTCGATCTTATCAGTCGTATTTGTCGTATTTGTCGTGTCGGTCGTGTTTGTCGTGTCGGTCGAGTTTGTCGTGTCGGTCGTATCTGTCGTGTCGGTCGTATTTGTCGTGTCGATCTTATCAGTCGTATTTGTCGTATTTGTCGTGTCGGTCGTGTTTGTCGTGTCGGTCGAGTTTGTCGTGTCGGTCGTATTTGTCGTGTCGGTCGTGTTTGTCGTGTCGGTCGAGTTTGTCGTATTGGTCGTATTTGTCGTATTTGTCGTGTCGGTCGTATTTGTCGTATCTGTCGTGTCGGTCGTATTTGTCGTATCTGTCGTGTCGGTCGTATTTGTTGTGTCACCCGGGTGTTTCCTCCCGTCCAATCCGAAACAGAAACTTATCGAAACTTCCGTGTCCGGTAAGCACCTGCGTAGGTGGTACAGGCAGTAGGTGAGGACGCCGTAGCGTCTATCAAGTCAGTCCTCAAAGAGGGGACATACCGCTGCAATGACAGCAAGCCTAATGTCGCGGAGTCTACTGATATAATTATAGTGCAGATAAAAAGTTTTCGCAAGGCAAAAGATGAAGATATAATAATATTATTCATATAAGCATTACTTATTAAGTCCTTACGACGGTGCTAAACATTTATGGTATACATGTCCGTCTCAGCTATTTCGGAAGTCCAATCAAAGTTGCAAGTCCAGTGACTTAAGGATCATTATTATGTATAACCAAGGATTATATCAGATGGGGGTGTTTGTGAGTTTGTGTGAGGGATGCAACTGCCAATCATTGCGGTTCTAATAACGGGGTTATGTTTGCAAAGACTTTCATGTGTACTTATTACTTTTAAGTGTTGATGTGACAAAATGAATGTGGAAGGAATTTGAGAAAATATCAAGTTCAGTAAAAACCTAGTGTCAATTTAATTTCGCGTCTAATCTGTAACCTAATTTGGAAAACAACTGCAATAATTCTAAGAATGACCGAATCGAATTAGAATTCTAACGTCTAACGATTAAATTCCAATTTATGGAGATCCAATTACATGTGTGGCAGAGCCATGCTTTGGTGCGAATGGGCTGGTTTGACCAGAGTGATACCACGGCCTCACAGAAAACCGACGACAAACAACACTTGCGTTGCATTTCTTCGTGAGTGAGTGATGTTACCAGAAGCCCTATTAACCACATCCCCAATCTCTTCAATCTCTGAGTCCCCCACAATCCTCAAATTCCTAATTGAGGATAAAAAACCCGGTAACGTCGATGAGGCCGATAACGCTTCTGGTGTTTCAGATGTTCATGGGTTGCGCCGATGATCCGTAGTTTGTCTACCGGCTTATATCTCCTACAAAAAAAATAAAGATAAGACCAACTATTGATAAAACTTCTAAATATCTAACGAGGACAGTGGTCGCCTGAACTGAACACAAGAAAAATTTATCCTGTAGACGGAAACGTGCCGGAGTAACTCTAGCGTCTACCTATTTAAGTTTAGATAGGGTTAAGTTTAGAGCGACCTAATACATTTTTTAAATGTACAGACCCAAATAAAATTACATTGGAGAACCAAGTACGTAGCAGCCAATTTTCATTTCATTGTTGGAGTTCATTGCCTTCTAGGTTTTTCTGTTCCCTGGTTTTATTTTATTTATTCCGTCATTTGTTAGAAGTAGGTATGTTACCAGTGGTATTAGGTATGTAGTTTACATTAAAAAAAATATAAGATTTCTAGGTTTGTAATGAAAATGGCTGTAAAAACCTTTCTTTTGCTATTGCAGTTATTTGTACTTGTTAGGTACAAGTAATTAAGTACATGACTCTCTGTTTGTTTTGCGTAATGTTTTATCTAGAAATTGTGAAGTACATTACCTACATTATAATGTTAACATTAATGTTCACGAAATGAGTGGCAATACTACTCTTATCATATCTAACGTAGCTCATTTAAAACACGACACCATCAGACTGAAATCAAATTATTTCATTATTGTGTGTGTTCAAACTAAAAATAAGATAGTTGACCTATAGGTTGTGAATTATTCACGTCTATTTTAAACAAAAACAGCGTCTCAGACGCAGACACTATGAATGAGAGAAAATAAAATACGACACGCGGCGCACGACCTTGCATTTGTGTCAATAAGCATTTGACGTTTTAGGAACACAAAGAGACCGGCTATTGGACCTATTTAAGAACCACTACTTGATATAGATCTCATGCGACACGCACTCGTAAACAGCTCCCATAAAATCTTATGAGTCTTAAAAATAGATCTTAAAACTAGTGTTAAAAATGTCTTTAATAACTTGTGCATCTGTTGAAAAAGAGTATGAAAAGTTAAATAATGTGAAACAGGACGATATTCGAAATTTAATGGCGTGGTTGAAAGGAGCGGCGCATTTACCTCATGAATATATTACAGGTAACATTATCAACTTATTATAATTACTTATGTATTCTCTACTGAAACTTCTGTGGTACCTACATATTTTGTTTAACCGAAAATTACGGATTTGACTTGCATACTTCTCCCATTTTTATTTGTTTGTTTTTTTTTAACAAAGATAGACAATTATTATTATCAATGATTTAGAAGTAGATATTAAAGATAATTATCTTCTGCGTTTATGACATATTGTGTCCTCCGAGCCTATTTCGTTATATCTTCTCAGAGTCAGATTTTATTTTCAATCCAATATTAAAACATTGATATTTAAAGTACACCTTTATGCCTGTTACTGAATAAAACCTATTTATTAATCATGTTACGAAATTATGTATCCATTTCCTTCGTGCAGCAAAAATCGTAATAAAATCAAAGTTCTTTTGCAATAATATGGCATTTTACATAAATCACAATAAAATAATATAAACAATAACGATTTTAATTAAACCTGTCATGATTTAATACCGCATAAACATTATCAATGAACAGTTTAATGTTAGATTTCCGGGTAAAACAATAAACTGTGGCACTGTGGCTAATACAGAGGTATAATTTTCAGAATTGGACGTGATATTAGCATATCATAGTTGTGCATGCGACGCCGATCTAACGAAACGGGTCATTGATGTTAATTACACTCTTAAAACTTTGTTCCCGTTTTATCAGAATAGAAAAGTCGATGCATGTTTGGATATGGCTTTGCAGACGTGGTAAGTACTGGTTACTAGTTTATTGATTGTATATTTTTGTGATTGTCTATTGAAGTGTTCCATTGTCATTACATAATATAACATAACGTCATCAAAAACCACATCTGTACAATGTAACTTTTCACTATTTTATGTTATGTGTCCCGTGTAATAGAGTGAGCCTATTGTCATTTACCGGGCAAATTTCCAGACTCCGTGCTACTATTGAGATTTTTTGACAATGCCCGTAATACCTACTTGGCTCTATCCGGGAATCGAACCCAAGACCTCTTGCCTCGGCAGTCGCACTTGCCGCTCGGCCAACGAGGCAGTCAAAGCAATATATTTAGTAGATTTTCATTTCTAGCGTGAACTGAAATGTCATTTTTCATAAGAAAAACTTGAATATTTATCCTTTCGTTGTTTTAGTACTAGCTTCTGCCCGCGACTTCGTACGCGCAATCCCATTTTCTCCCGTTCCCGTAGATTTTCAGGATTTTTTCTATCTTAAGAACTTTCACCTAATATTAACAAATTCAACGAAAAAAAATTAGTGAAATCGGTCCAGCCGTTCAACGCGTGATGCCGTGGCCAAGGGAAAAGGGATTCATTTAAAATCTCAATGATCTAGCGGTTGTTATCACAACTGGCGAGTTAAGGTTCCGTGTTGGATATTTCGACATCAAAATCCTTATTGGATCAGCGTGTACTGGATAATTTGATATGGAAATCTTTATTAGATTTGATTGTGTATGTATTATGTCTGATTGATCGATTTACCGTACGATGTATGACTTAACCCTATGATTTATGTAATATGAAGGTACTGAACTTTGACTTTATGTTGCATTTAAATTGTATTTCGCACTGTCGGTCGAGTACTGTTTGCAAGAGAACCGAAAATGGGGTCTCAGTTTTTGAAGTCGAATATAGTTCTATATTTTTTTTGGTTTCTTAAATCAATATGTGTAGATGTGTTATAAAAAAATCTTTCTTTGTAATCTTTCCTTATACAAGATTAAAATTTGTTATTTGTTTCCAGGTTGATCCATCCATTGCCAACACTAACAAAGAATGGTTTCAGATCAATATATTGTGAATTGTTGGATGCAGATCCCAAAAAGTTTGTGTATGCCGATGTTATCAAGTAAGCATATATATAATAAGCAATTATTTTTACTAATTAAACGCTGATAACAAAGGATAAATGTTTCATAATTTATTTAGATTGGATCCCCAATACCGACAGCGCACTCTGCTGATGTTGCGAGTGTCCATGGGCGACGCTCGTTTACCGACCTATGCCACAAAAAGAAAAAAAAAATATAAAAATCAACTGAGTACATTATTCAATATATCTTTCAATACAACTTTCTAGACGTTATGTCGCGACGCTAGCCTGAAAGTTCAAACCGCTACGGGAATTCCGAAAATAAATTCTAAGCTGACGTGACATTGAATAGTTCTAGTCTAGTAGATCTTCATACATCTGCAAATTAATTCATTCGTCCAGTATTATAAATTACTTATCAAAGGTGGTCGCGTGTGCGAAGCAATACCACCTTACGTTTCGGGAATGTTTCCCGAATGGGAAAAAAAGGTTTCATTAATATTTAAAAAAATTATGGAGACTGTAATTGTTTCTTATGACACTGGTCTAAGGAGTTCATACAAGCCTACTACGTTATAACTATATGATTTTATATACAAGTGTATAATTTCAGGGCATTCCTAATGATAATGGATCTATGGCAATACGAAGAGGGTACAGTCCCAGGCGTGGCCCTTATTGTAAACTTGGACAGAGTGTCGCTGGGACACATCTCACGAGTCAACTTGACTGTGGCACAACAGTTCTTTTATTTCTTACAAGTGAGTTTCTTATAAAAATATCTTGCTCACTAAATATGCAATCACTTCACAAAGGACACCCCCAGGACTATCTCATTAAGTGTGTTTCTATAATGCTCAAGTATTCTCCATCCATTGTATAAGACAAAGATGCTGACCTACTTCTAACGTGGGTGCTGGGTACCTCTACATCCACAATCTTTTCATAATTGTTTTTCTTGTTAAGATACCAGGAAGTTGTATTATTTTTCAAATGCCTGCAACAGATTTACTGTAAGTTACTTTTAGAAAAAAAAACTTGATTGCTAAGTTAAAGTTGTTAAAGCAAAGCGAACAAATCCCTTTTTAATATAAAACTAATTTGTTTTGTCTATCGTTTTCAGGAAGCTATGTTCGTCAGCCTCAAAGAATTCCATTTCATCAATGCTCCAACGTTTGTAGACAAGTTACTGTCTATGGTGAAACCATTTATGAAAGACGAACTACTTGATATATTGAAGGTTCACCAAGCAGATGCTAATTCTCTAGACGAATTTATAGCAGTAGAAGATTTGGTTAAAGACAATAAAAATGTTTAAAAGGTAAATATTATTTCGTACAATTTTTCATTTACTATAATATAGAAACCAAATGTTACAGTGTCCTTATTATTTCAGATGAAATGTTCAACAAACTAAAAGCGAACCACAAGTTTTTCGAAGACGAAGCAAAGAAAAGAGTTGACGAATCAAAGAGGCCCGACGGTCCCAAAACTTTAAGTAGTTTCTTCCCAGGCATGGAAGAATCTTTCAAGAAACTAGAAATAGATTAAAATGATCACGAATTCAGGTCTGTCTTGTGTAAAAAAGGAAGATTTAGGGAGGATATAATAATTTAAAAAAGGGGTGTATATTAAAGAAATGTTTATTTTCCGATTAACCGTGTTGAGATAGCAGAAGAAGATTGTGAGTAGTACAAATAATATAATACAGTGTGTGTATTGACACTAGTACGTGACAACACATGCAGTTCGCGGCGCGGCGCGGGTAGCAAGTGACACAAAGGAAATTGCTTCTTTGCATAGCGGTGTGCTTGCCACCTAGCAAAACGACCAAAAATCCCACTACACGTAATATTCGATGGACTTCAGTACTTGTATGCCCTAGAAAAGATTTTTCAACTGTAATTCACTTAGGTTTATTTCTATTTTTAGATCATATTTTATCTTATTGTTGTGTAAAGGTCACAGTTACTGCTTCGGTCCTTAGTTATGTTTTTTTATTTGTGTGTGTAATAAATAATGTATTGTTTTCTTATGTTATTAAATATGTCTGTATTTTTGTCTCAAAGGTTAGGCTAAAATATAATTTAGGATTTATTTCGCATAGTTCCAGCTTTCATGAGTCTATGGCCTCGTTTACAGCTAGACTTATGAAACAGGCAAAAGTTAAATTTTAAGTACCAACATAATATTTAGTCAACTCGACTAAAAGTTTGCTTAATTTCCTCCCGCACTGTATCGGAGTTTTAAATCTTAGTTTTGATGCTGTTCATAAGTTTGAAAATTCTTGAAAATTCTATAATATTTACTTGGCGAGTTGGTATCGGCTAACCAACGCTTTTGTCTGGAAAATTGAGGTCACACAGCGAACAATGTATCAACATTGTCGTCGCATTCTATTGATACAATCATTTCGATCGTAATGGCGTAATGGTCGAAAATAAAATACCTAAAACTGGACTGCAATCGGTGCACTATTGTCCCTAAATAGTGCACAAAAGAAATTCGATTTTAGTGAAAAGCTTCCATTCTCTTGAAGATAAAAGAATAACGATTTCGAGTAATCCCAAAGGTTTTGGTCTAGATAAATATATTTTTTTAATGTTCCGTCAGCCCTTTACTGCTAGTGATTTGTAAGTTTTTTAAGATTGTAAGCAAGTCTGATCTGTTCATTTACCACAATGTACAGAATTGCTGGGTTCAGGAGAAAAGTATTATTGGATTATTACGTGTAATGTATGAGTCCCGAATTGTGTCCGGTGAGTAGCCATAGTCCTGCTCCTTATTACATATTGGGACTAATAAAGTAACTGGTTGCAGATATTGGGTTCATAATTTTCTGTAAAAATTATGTAGAGTACAGCGTGAATATCAAGGCTTTTATAAATAAATTAGAATTTCCGAAAATAACTTTTTAGTAGGTGCTATAAAATACAATTTCCACGACGTCGGAAAGGGACATTAAAAAAAACTTGAAAAACTAATTTAATCTACGGGGTGTAGATTTTGAACTCCAGATAAGAGGGCTGTCTCCTCCGAGCCTCTCGACCTTGGCCGACAATGGAATGTCGGTCAAAGTTAAGCTTTTTCAGGATTCCATTCCCGCAGACGCGAAAAAGTAAATTGCTGTCTAGGAAAAGACTTATATTTCCACCAAAATATTTACCGAGCCGGTCGTATTTTTATTGTTTTCCATTACAGAAAAAAGGATTGACGAAATGTATTTCTCGCTAATACCAAATACTAATTCTCTGAGCGAAATATCTTTTCGGTTAAACGATGATTGTTGTTGTTTGTAGGTAGCCTGTGGCAGTTATACAATTTGCATTAGGTACGTGTAATTGTGTGCACGGATTAATATATTATTGTCAAATCCCATTTGCGTACAAGCAAAGCGTGTTACTCACGCTTGGAAACTAACGTTGACATGTGTGTCATGACCTAGTCCAGTACATCATCATGGGACGATGTCATGAAGTTCGTTGCGTACCTGTCTCATTAAACATCCCGTCTGTAATGAACTCTTGCGTGATTTAATTATTAATGAGAAGCCACGGTCACTTAGTTACATTAGTTCATTTATGTGGGTAGAACACCGCGCAGCCGTCTTCTTACATATAACATAATGCGGACCCACCTTCGAGATTGTTCGACATACTTCGGACCTACATAAATTACTTGCAGCTCCTAACAAAAGGTAAGACAATATAGGACGTCGCTCTCCGTACTTAATTCGTTTAAACTGTGCCACCGTTGAATACGGTGTAAATACTAAAAGAGAATTTAACACGAATAAAACGAAAGATTTCAATACTAAAATCGACGGATGGAATAAAGTGCATGTGCTGTTACATAGTAAATAATTCTGGCGAGAGCTACGCCATCCGCACTTGCAATAAAACGAACAATGCAATTTAGCTAGTGCTGCATTCATGCGATGGTTTCTCTGTAAAAGTTGGTTGTTCCAACCGTGCATGGCTCTCGATTACCGACATGGGTAAATATAAAACAAAATACCGAGAATCACAGAACGTACTGTGACATCCGACTTCGTTTAGTTTACTGCATAAGTAAATATAAGAAGAACGGACAATTTCCGATTAATGTTGGCTAACTCACAGTCAGAATAGGTTAATCGTGGAATTCTAGGAAAAGTTCACAATAAATTATCACTATGATTTTATGTAGAAATGTCATATTGTGACATTTTTTTTTATTTTTGAATAAAATATAAGTGATTGAACAAAGTCAGCAATTTCCCCTCGGGTTCCACAATCAAAGCCTTTCTACATATTTATTGTTAAACTGTAAAACAACGGTAAAAAGAGCAATACAACTAGACAACACAGTTACAGAGCGCGCTTCCTCATAAAATGCAGCGACGTCCGATTTGTGGGAACAGCATATAAAAATTTCAAAGAGCCTGTATGCGCGTGCAGTGTCCGCGGCGGCATCACTCGCCGCTTGCATAAAACATGCAAATTGGACCACTTCACTGGTGTGGTGTGCCTAAGTTCACTCGCTTTTGCACTTTTATGTAAAATTGTTGGCCATTAGTCATGTAAATATCGTTAACTGCAACTCTAACGCACCTCTATAGCGTTATTCTAAAAATTATCTTTTATTCTTATGCAAACGGGCCAACACCAAGCCTTTGTTATCGAATCTCATTTGTTTTAATTATCTTATATGAAAGCATACATAATTTAGAAAATGAGCACCTAAGCATCTCTTTGTTTTGTATATAGTCATGTGCCTAGTTCTTCAATAGCGTTTTAATTGGCATTGTGGTGCAAAAATGATTTTAATTATAATTGGGAATGCAAGAGCACAATAGACCGTTAAATGATGACGGATTGTCGGCGGCGATTGTTTAGCGTATGCGACTGAATAGCGAACGTTCGGTGCAGTAATGAGCTTCTGAAGTATTTAATGAATACCCACTTTATGTCTGCTTTCATTCTAAGCAGATACATGTCGGCCTTTGTACCCTTTGTTACATCAAAAACTGCGAAATAGATAGTAATGCGTGAGCTTCCAGCGTTAAAATCATTTAGTAAATGTAGCATGTTCAGTCATTCTTTCAGACCTTTCTCGCGGCTTGTACACAGATAATTTGTGGTCGTGATGGAAATAAAAAGTGTTAATACTTTTTCTCATTCCAAGAAAAAATTAAGCTACGACCTCTGCGTCGTCTTGGGAGTAGATAAAGTTTGTCCTGTCGAAGGTGGCTGGGTGGAGATTAACCGCGGCGAGGTCTTGCGTCGACTTCATCAATTATGTCCCGTCCCCCGACTCCGCTTGATCCCCTGCTGGCTCGTCCAGAACCGAAGGCACGCCTCTCCGCATCTGCTTCGTGATGAGACCGTTTGCAGTTTGTGAATGATTGATCTGCGCACAATAAATAGTCACGTATCTCAAGACAAATGTTGGCTATCAGGAAAGACTGCTTACTTAGAATTCTTCCGGGTTTTTATATTGTTGAGCGTAGATCAAATGGTAATGTGCATTCCTTCATAATAGCTCGTTGTTGAGGTACTTAATAGATACCCGACTTCATATTACTGCATTGTTTTACCTGAACCTGTATGTACATTAGACTTGATTGTCCTGACTCTATCGTACATTGAATATTAGCCTGTCAGCTTTAACAATTATGCCTAACCTTTATTCCCGACTATTGCTGGAACCAGTGCACACAGTAGTGGATAATGTGCGCTATTTAACAACATCGTATATCTAACAGGAGCGTATGCAACCGGCAGCAGTGATCATTGTTCCATTGTTTATGGTTGCACAATTATGTCGGTATTGGCGTTGAAACCACGGCTGAAAACAAATTGAATGTATTAAACTCCCAGTACAACTTTATACACTGTTTATACAGCGTGTTTTACGATATATGCGTGTTATTTTGCTTTATGTTGTCGTGGGTACCTACATAGACGTGACAAAATAACAAACGTGCAAGGACAACGACCAGTCTTGTAAGTTCGCTAGTCGCCGGTCGACTGTCGATAGTTGCTATTTATGCTGTTAGTTTAGCATATGAAAACTATTCTTTTTGTAAAGTAAGTACGTGTTTGTGAACAATTGGAAGTATCTCTGGTAGTTTTAGTATGACCTGAAAGGTGGACGTATTGAGTAGCGTTGCAACGACTGCGATCAAACAGTTTATGTTGTGTGAATCTTATCTGTCTCCTTTCGTATGTTACAGATCATGACAGAGCATCATTTCAAAGGCTTTGCATACTCTGTTATTGGCAGGTGTTCGATCTTATCAAGTGCGAATTGATGTATGATGTACTAAACTACACATCGCAATTTAATGGATATGTGTTAAAGAATTTTACATATAACGCATTTTTTAACACGCTCCACTCCATTAATATCATGTCGGCGTAAAATTGAGTTTCATCGTATGCACCTAGCATTGGCACTAATTGATTTGAAAAACCCCAATATATTTGGACATTTTTAACAAATTCTGCTTAATTTTGTTTACGTAATATTAACAGATTCTATTAAAATATTTACTAGATATTATATTTGATGCAGATATTGTTGTGGACATAAATTAGTTTATAGTTGCTATGTTATTGTATAAATGTTTACAAAATTCTGTCAACACACAAGTTCGCTCGACAAAATGTGGACAATAAATTTTAGAATTACGTCACGAATATCTCCGCGTAGTATTCTCAAATCTGTGTCAGGTAGGTGACGACGTAATTAATAAAGTGGAACTAAGTATTGATTCAAGAGGAGGGCCGAGGGTTTTAACAAAAATGGCATTTAAAATATTGTAATTGGAGTGGCCGATGGGCCGGTGTGGGCCACTTGGTGGGAGCGACTCGAGAGCGACCTTTCTCCTCTAATGGATACCGAAAACCTTCTTCACTTTTACGCGAAAAATCTTTTTGGAAAATAAATGAATCCATACCGTATGTAAATCGGACGCCTTCGAAAGTTTTTATTGAAAAACTTGAAGAACTGATGAAAATGGGGCCGCGACGTTTAAGATATCTCCGTTCATCTTATGAATGTACCCGCTGAATCCCAAATGTTCTTACTTTTGCATAAGTTACTTTTATATTGGCGGGTCGCAGTGGTTCCGTGTGTTGTACGTACATTGTAAGACTGTACCGCAGTACCTAAGTACGTGGTGAGCAATGTGTGGTCATTACTTGCAGCAATGTGGTGCGACTAATAAAACATTAATCGGATTATGTTAAAGGGTTTCTGGTATAATTAAGTTATTTAAGATTAATTAAAGGCGAGAGGGGCGCAGCACTCTCAGGCTCGGAGGGTACAGAGCCTCCCAGAGAGCCTGAGTAATTGATAAAGCTAACCCTACTACCCTTAATCACGGTCAGCTCAAACTTAAACTCGATAAATAGTTATTTATTAAGTTGTCTGAAAACTTATTACTAGACTCCACTTGGATTTATGATATTTATGTTTACCTATTACGTATTTACGCTATCTTATTTAATTATTTAAGTTCTTGGTACAGATAGCTCACAGAGCTTTTACATAACGTCTCTATATACGTAGTATGGGTACTCGTATTTCACCCGTTGTAAATCATACTCGTCTACCGGTTTGCCTATTTCAAAATTTAATGTTCCTGATTTACAACTCATCGTTTAATATACTTACATAGATTTAGCGCGAACAGTTATATGAAATGATCTGTATAGGACTTAATTTAAATCTGCATATGCACATAAATAACGAGATAATTGCATAAATAATATGAGTTCTGGATCTGTGAAGATTTCTTGATGTCTTGTTTACAGTTGTCTATTATTTATGCCACGCGACGTTGTGACTCATACGCTCCGACTCTACTAGGCTACTTATTAATAAACATACAAAAAATAAACTGCCGACTTCCTTTCGCGTGCCTACAGACATAAAAGTTCTTCGTGCGTATCCTAACAAAAACATAAATTAGGTAAATTTATATCAGGGGTCATCCCTCGGTTACAATATGTTCGTAACGACACCGAGGGTCAATGCGCAGTCAAATCTCCCCCGCAACAATTCAGGCGGCTCCGGATCGGCAAAATTATCAAAACTTTTTAACTTACAACTTTTCCTTAAACGAGTGGAGCGGGCTTTTTCATTCGTTTGGAGCTTTCGCGGGTCTCAGTGTCCGCGATCGTGCCATCCTTGTTGCTCGCAGAGCGGCGGCAGAGGCAGCGGCAAGCCTCGGCTCGGCTGTTGTCTCGCGCGTGCCGGTTCCAGCCGGGCCGGTTCGGCCACGCGAAACATTTTCAGTTCTCATCGCTGCGATGCCGGTGGCGCACGTCACGCTTGTCGCCCGCCGACGACGCTGCGTTACGACGATCGTGGCGTACTTCTTTAACAACTAATAAATCAAGCGAACCGAACGAAGTAAACCCTCACGAACAGATTATAACTCGATATGAGATAACAGGCTCGCGGCACGACTGCGGTGATTAATCACACAAGTCCGTTCAACTCGAATGATCTGAACGGAAGAATAATCTCTCCGATTTCGGTTTAGTTGCGCGTAATGTAAACAGATAAACATTGAAGTTTTCCGGTATCATTTGTTGACTTGAGGATAGCAGTAGTTGTAGGAGCACTGTATGGACTGATGCGAGGAACTATGCTCGTGTGGGAGAACGTGTAGTTAGTGTGTGCGATTTAGATGTGCGCTGGATAGAGCCGCGACGTGTACGATGGGTGCTAGTGGACAATGGACAGCTGGGGTGCTGTGGGTGGTGCTGGCGTCGGTGCTGGCCGACTCCTGGACCGCGTACCAGGAGCAGCCGTGCTGCCGGCCCGTGTCGCATCACCGCGTGAGGCACCACAGAGGTGAGTCATCATTACCATTACCATAGCCACACAACTTTTGGTTACAAACAGTCAAAATAGTTTTTATTCAGGTGAGTGACTAGACTACAAGCAGTTCACTGGCCGAGGCAATTAGTCACAGCATTATGTGGGACGGACAGATACGACATCATTACAAGTTTAAATATTTACCGACGACGTTTGAATGTTTAAAGTATTCTGTAGATAACTGCTGCAACTCTTACGTATTTGAGTCATATAAGAGACATAAACTGACTCATAAAACTTTTTATTAAATACAAAATTCTTATGAATTTGAACTGTGCTCGAAACTTTTGAGTGTGGTTCAATTTTCATTGAATTACTTAGGTTCCTAATATTTAAGCCTAAGAAACATGATTTGTGTTAGAACTTAGTAGTAAATAAAGCCGATTTAATTTACAATTCATGTCGCATATGAATTGAAGAGATAATCGGCTATAAGCTCATCAGTCGAATGTGAGTCGGTAACATAAAAGTTGTGCCATGCTCTTTGGCGGATAGAGTCACGCAAACTTATGTTTATGTGCTGTCGATACACAGTGGGCTGCCCGGGCCCCGGCACCAAACGGGAGCACACACGAACACTCAACCAACCGTTTACCCTCTCCGACAATCGTAAAAACACCATAAATGAATAAAAAGATACGAAAAACTGTAAACAAACCTATTCTGGGGAAATCCAACCGGAATTCTTTATGCATCACATTTTTTATTTGTAGAAATACTTGGAATAAAATGAGGAATTTAGTCAAACTACCTTTTAGTGGACACTGGAGAGGATACCTTATCTAAATGGTGACTATTTGAAAGTTATTCAAGTAAAGACAATTCACCTCGCCCGGTGATAGTTCCTTGAAAGTAACTAAGTTGTAAATTCAACACTAAATTTAAACAAAGTTGGAATACGACAAAGTAACAACAAAATAACCACAGTCGTCCAAAGATAGTTTGTAAACTCAAGAACTACGAATACCAATGTCGAAAATTTTTAGTTTAATCAATAACATTTATGTAAATTCATGTTATTTTATGTTTATTCATATTACAAACCGTGCAGAAAGTCTGTTTTGTGTTTAAAATACGTTTAATTTCATTACGATCCATTTCCGAATTCTTTTTGGACATTGGAAGGACAATTGGCGTTATTAGCACGAAGCAAGCATTCCTGGGTGACGCATCAACGAACGTAAAGAACGCACTATATTAAAAAGTTTTATCTCATCTGAATATTATTTCGTCGACAGCATAGACAGCAAAATATGTGTTCTCTTTACCATTAAAACGTACTCGTAAAAAAATAACAAAAATGTCGGTTGGGGTGTCATTAAAATTATAAAATTCGAATTGACTGGAGAATTTGGTTCGAAACCGTTAATTTAAAAATGTTTGTAACGTTTTTCTGGAATAATAAACTTTTATTTGTCTATTTATCTGCTAAATTTTTAGATAATGATCAGAAAATATTATCTGGTAATTAAACGGTATAAAAGAATGTCGTAAATATGTTAATTATGTCATAAAGTCAAATTAAACGGCTCCACATTTAAATATAACTTTGCATGGCTAATTGGCGGAATCACGGAGGTAATCGTCTGAAAAAAAAACACATTCCAATTATTTAGCTATAGACATTTCAATGGATTAAGATAATAATCTGTGGTTTTATGTAGTACACAGTCTTGATAGTTTTATTGTTCAGTAACTCAGTAGCTATTCTACTGTTTGAGTTACGACCGCAGTCATCGGTAGCACAAAAACTATATTTATTGCATCGGAATAAAGATGATGTCAATGTCATACTGGAACTATGGAATGGAACGTCCATTGATTGTTCAAAGAATGAATGCAGCCGATTTAAGCTGAATAAAGCTTTATGAATCGAAATGCTGTTAAACATCCTTAAATATCTTTACAAAGGGCAAGTATTTGTAATACTCGTATCTTATTGTAAGAAGCTTACTTCTCACAGTCAACGAAGGGGCCCCTTTCTGTGGATTGTGGAGCAAAAAATATTATGCACGATGGGTGCTAGGGGGCGCGGTGCGAAGGTGAGGGGCGGAGGATCATGCGAACCGGTTCAGCGTGCGCCCGCGCAGGTAATCGACTCGCGCTCCTTTTAGCTAGGGCTGATCTGAACTTGATTGTATTACGGCTTTGTTTTATGTCTATTCTATTTCAGAATAATACTCACTTTGTTAAATTTAGATTTAGATTAGTTAACGACTTAATGTAATAGAATTACATTGAATAAATTTATTCCGTTACCTTTAATACAAATTGAAGTTCCATAAAAGTCTAACAAACTGCTTCATTTTAAAGCAACTGAATAATTTAACAGCTTAATAATTTAATAAGAAAAATTAAATTCACACCAAAACTCACAAAAATCAAAATCGTAGCTAGCAGTAACAAAATAAAAAATGCGAAATCGTGACCTTTGTCATTTGGCTCACCACTTAACAGTTGGCAACCCTGCACTTGGCTAAATTAAGTAATAAACGAGCCAACATAATCGAAGCATAAGCTATGCCCAACAGTTTTTATTACAACGTGCTACATCATTCCAATATAATGTATCTTAATGGTCGTGGCTATTAGGCTAGGCACGCATGTCTGCGTTCGCCGTTTTTTTCTTTTATTTATGACTTAATTTACATGCTACGAAGATTATAATGTAGTGGTTAGCGATGAAGATAGTGTAGCGAAATTTGTTAGAAGTAAAATGTAGTGCGCACTGGCACCTAACTTAATTTATCGCCTATCGACAAAGTTAAGCGTGGAGCATGCTTAGCTGCTTACAGTACCTGGCTGTTAGAATTTAACGGTAAAGTATTGTTACACAATTTTGCAGCACATTTTCCCGTGGTTTAGAGCTAAGCTGAGTTACAACGTGAAAGCTCTATCTATTGGTAATGGTGCTCGGAGAAATTATGCTGGACTCAATATGATAATACTGCCATTAATGATTTGTTGTGTAATGCTGACGGCATGAATACAGACTGTAATTTTATTTGTGGATTAATAAGGAATGCTTAGTTTGGAAGATATTTCAGTAACTGACATTTTTTTTACAAAATTTCTAATTGTTGGAGGATAGTAGTTAGGCACTTTGTGTATGATACCGAAGCCAAAACCGTTGAAACTCAACGCCGACCACAACCTAGTTGGGAAAAGGCCAGGAGCAAAAGTAACGTTAATCCAAAACAAAACTTCGTTACGTTTCCCTTTCGGCCGTTTACTTTTATTTTAGAAGCCTAAACAGGTACTTGTTACCCACAATTACTTTACGGAGCATTACACGTCGTTCAGAGGGTGATTTTAGCTAAACAGAGTGTGGCAACAAGAGTAATGTTCGCGTTAGTCGGTCGCCCTCGCCTGGCGTGTGGTCCCATCGGCGAGAGGCCGGCAATCGTTCTGACAGCGAGCGATGTTATCGCTATTTAATATAAACCTATTTACTTGTACCGTACCTCGTACTGGCCCGCATGCCGTACCGCTGTACCGCTATGCTCGCTACACCCACAGGTATCGCTTACCGAATTATCTCTGGACGGCGGATCATGCTCGTTGCTTTGAGCATATCTCCATGTTTTGTTCTCACGGCTTGCTTATTCATGCTCCAATGTGCAGGTTATGTTCTTGTTATGTGTTTATACGGGCTTATTGCGTTGGTTTCTGATTCATCGAATTATTAACATAAGTACATTAAAGCCGCACATATTGTCTGGAAGGTATCTTTCTTGGGTATTTTCTAAATTATGTCTAGCCTGTGTAGAATTATTAATTTAACTCTGTGCCCTTCAGACCCTTGCTGTTTTAATGTGATTGACGTCATCCATATGCAGAAAACTTTAAATAAGCTACACAAATGAACCCCTGAAAGAAAACAGTGTTGTTTGGAGTCATAAACAGTAGAACCATAGAGCGGTTCAGTCATTACTTGAACTACTATAAATAGGATTAATGTATTCCGGAAACATGAAGGTTTAGCTTTGAACCGTTAAAGTGTTTGCGGTAACCAGAAAACTCTTGAATACAAAAGTGTTTGTCAATAGAAGGATTAGTTTTATAAATACCGGCCTTATATCGCCTTGTATTGTAGGAATGTTTTGTACACATTTTTGTATCGTGAAAAATACGGCCTGTTTATTTATATGCTTCTATTTTTCTATAAGACCTGGAAGTGGCATTTTTTGTGTGTTCTCGTTGCAGCTGAAAATAGCACATAGGATCAATTAGATCTGAGGAATTCCCAAGGTTAGACAAATATAAATTGATTAGTGCTTACAATATGTCTGTAGACATAACAGGATGATAAGATAAAAACATATTTGTTTAATAAAACCCCAAGAAGAAGCCGCAAAATCATCAAACAAACAGTAAGCAAAAATCAATACATCTACATTTCACGGGGTGTAAGTACAAAACTGTATGTAAAAGCTATTCCAAATAGCTTGAAACAAGACCTAAGTACCAGAATCTGGGCGACTACTAACCTAGTTGCAGAGTTTCCTCTTAAAAACGCCGACAATTGCGTTGAATTGAAAACCTGACGCCTTCTACTAAAGTTGTAATGATCACGTCGCTGTCGGGCGTTATAATTACTCTAATTAAGTTATCTAGACTACACGGCTTTACCTAGGATTTAACGAGTTCCACGAAACGCTGTTATTTATCGCCGTTTCTCGTACATTTTAAATAATGCTCGTCTACAATTCCATGTTAGAGCACTTTGTTGTTTCAAGTACTTGACTTCCACCTTTGTTAAAAGCTTTTTAAAATTTAAAAGAATTTTATAGGCTTCCTTCAATAGTTAGGTTATTATGATGTATTGTGGTTTCTTGTCCTGACTAATGAAATGGAATGAATGATATTCATTATTCACTAATTCTGTCCAAATAACAATTTTATGCTCTCCATTCCTTCTTTACTTCTTCTGTAATCTCATTTGTTTTGATCGAACACCAATAAATGCCCTT